GAGGCCAGGCAAGAAGCCATAGAGACGAGCAAGGGGCCAGTCTTGCTCTTCCATCACTGCCCTCTCTTGAGAATTCACCGGGATCCCATGAGAACTGCCTGACTGCCTTTCAGGACACCACCCCCATTGCACCAGGCCCACCTCTCAGAGGGCCACCACCTCTCACTGCGGCCACACTGGCGGCCATGTGTCCAGTACGTGTTCAGACCTTGTTCAAGCCACAGCAACAACGCGAGCACCAAGTGTTGGAGGGACTGAATCACAGCACTGAAAGTTTAGTACCTTGTTTTGAATAATAAAATACTACTAGAAGAAAGGCTGTGGTACGTTACAAGTGCCTATTGTAATCTTGAGCGTAACCACTGAAAGTCACACAAGGAAGTGTACCCAGAAATTCAGTGGAAGAGATAAAGTGGAATCCAGACGAGAGAAGGGAGGACAAAAGGAAGAAGACAGAGACAAGGGCTAAACTGGACAGCTGGACGCTATTGTGATGGTCAGCTTTAGGGGCTGCGGTGACAGGGTTGAGGGCTGCTGAAGCGCTTCTGTGTCTGTGCAGGGCTCCCAGGAGAGACAAGCGTGTGAGGTGGGAACTGAGCAAGGAAGAGCCGCACCCAGTGTAGGGGTGCCCTCCAGTGCACTGAGAGCCAGTAGGGAGCAAGCAGAACCCCAGGTTCTGCACCCCTGGACTCAGTGTGGCCCCCACAGCCTGCAGACACTGAGGAGGACATCACTGGCTTCCGTGGTCCTGGAGCTTCCACTTGCAGAGAGCCTGCGCAGGTGCCTCAGTCCCCAAAACCCTCTCAGATCCCACATCTGTCTCCAGTTGGCTCTGTTTCTGGTGAACCCTGACCAACACACATAGCAGGAAGAGAATTAATCCAGCCACATCCGTAGCTGTACCGCACAGACGTAGAGGAGTCAGACACTCCACATAGAAGGCAGAGATTGCCAGACGAGAGGCAAGACTGGCCAAAGGCTGTGGTAAGAAAGGTCCCTTAGACATAAAGACAGGCAGAGTGCAGAAGGAAAGGAAAGGAAAGAGACTGCAAGTGTGAGAAGGGAGGGTGATGGTATTACTGGCAGATAAAGTGGGTTTTAAGACAACGAGTATCACCAAACATTTCATAATGATGAGGGCCCGGTTTATCAGCAAGGTACCTAGTAACAGATCATCTAAGTTCCTGAAGCCACACTAAATGTGACTGAGGATTTCATCTCCCCTCTCAGCAGCTGAGAGAACAATCAAGAAAAAACCTGAAAGATCAGAACATCACTGCCAACAAACTTGGCCTGTTTGGCGTTTATACAACACTGCACCCAACAATGCAGAACCCACATTTATTGCAAGTTTATGTGAAACCTCTTCCAAAATTGAATACACACTGTAGTGATCTTTTAAGTGTCAGTGATTGTCTAGGAACAGATACCACACAGAACACTTTCTCTGGCCAAAGTTACATTAAGTCAGAACTCATTAACAAAACCAGTAACTAGAAACAACTAAAATAGGTGGGAGTTATGTATCCTACTTCTAAAGAGCTCCTGGGTCAAAAAGTCCCAGCATCTGTGAGAATACTGTTCTGTTTCTCTCTTCTCATAACGCCTACAGATCCAGGGCTTCTTTTTGTTGGGAGATTTTTGATAACTGATTCCATCTCTTTACCAATGATAGGTCTGTTCATGTTTTTTATTTCTTCACGCTCTAGTCTTTATAGTTTTGTGTTTCCAGGAATGTATCTGGTTCACCCAATTTACTGGTGTACAGTTGTTCACAGTAATTTCTCATAATCCTGTTTATGTTATGCAATCAGCAGTAATGTTCATACTTTGGTTTCTGAGTAATATGAGTTTCCTTCCTTCCTTCCTTCCCCTCTTCCTTCCTTCCTTCCTTCCTTCCATCTGGCTAAAGGATTTTTTCATTTTCTTTTTTTTTGTCCTTTCCTAAAACCATATTTTTGGTTTTCTGAACTTTGAATTTTTTGAATTTCTGAATTCACTGTTTTTCTGTTTTATTTGTCCTATAATCTGTATTGTTTCCTTCCTTCTGCCAGCTTCAAGTTTAGCTTGTTCTTTTCCTGGTTCCTGAACTTGCAGACTTGAGTGTGGGCAGGAGATGGTCCTCTGCTCCAGTGGTTCCCATGTGAATCCTCCAGCACTGACTGCCTTCGTCCTGCCTGAGGAACGCTCCTTGGACTCCTGCTTTCCTGTTCCTTTCCTAATGTCTTTAAATTCTTGCACCACTTTCTAGGTACTCTGAGACAGCCTAGAATTAGTGTGGTTGAATCCAGGAAAGACAGCAGGGTCTCCAGGGTCTGCTGCACTCTTCAGAGTGATCCCGGCGGGAGACAGGAGCTGCACGGCAACCTGGTTAGGAGCTTCATGTGGAGAGCCATTCTCTGAAGGGGCAGTGGGGCTGTGAAGCCCTCTCTGGGGTTGAAAGGGAATATCCAAGGGGGAACAGGCCTCAGAGGGGTCTCTCCCTCCAATCCCCATCAAGATAGGTGTCGTGAACGTGTATTTCTATATCCAGTGTCAGAATACAGTATGTAGGGTTAGCATAACCGTTCTTGCCTGCCTTAGCCAACCAATGGCCAATCCTGACCTTTCAGAGCTGGAGGCGTAGAATATAAAACACAGCATGGTATAAAGTCGGCCTAGAAACCAGTGGGTCAAGGACAAATTTCTTTCTTTCTTTCTTTCTTTCTTTCTTTCTTTCTTTCTTTCTTTCTTTCTTTCTTTCTTTCTTTCTTTCTTTCTTTCTTTTTTCAGGCAGAGTTAGACAGAGAGAGAGAGAGACAAAGAGAAAGGTCTTCCTTCCATTGGTTCACCCCCCAAATAGCTGCTATGGCTGACGCAGCACGCCTATCCGAAGCCAGAAGCCAGGTGCTTCCTCCTGGTCTCCCATGGGGTGCAGGGCCCAAGCACTTGGGCCATCCTCCACTGCCTTCCCGGGCCACAGCCGAGAGCTGGACTGGCAGAGGAGCAACCGGGACAGAATCCGGCACCCCAAACGGACAAGAACCCAGGGTGCCGGCGCCGCAGGCGGAGGATTAGCCTAGTGAGCTGTGGTGCCGGCCTGGGACAAGTTTCAAGAGTATGCTGAACAGTCACCCAACACACTATAAGTCACTCAGGAAAATATCAGTATAGATATCCTCCCCTCCCCTGACTCCCACACCTAAGACCAAATGAAGTCCAGATGAATCCAATTTAATATGAACCAAAATGTGGCTGGCACTGTGGCACAGCAGGTTAAAGCTCTGGCCTGAAGCACTGGCATCCCATATGGGTGCAGGTTGGTTTCCTGGCTGCTCCAATTCCAATCCAGCTCTCTGCTATGGCCTGGGAAAGCAGTGGAAGATGGCCCAAGTCCTTGGGCCCCTGCACCCACGTGGGAGACCCAGAGGTAGCTCCTGGCTCCTGGCTTTGGATCAGCGCAGTTCTGGCCATTGCAGCCAATTGGGGAGTGAACCATCAGATGGAAGACCTCTCTCTCTCTCTCTCTCTCTCTCTGCCTCTCCTCTCTCTCTCTGTGTAACTCTTTCAAATAAGTAAATAAATAAATCTTTTAAAAAAATATGAATCAAAGAGAGATACAGGTAGATTGGAACCTGCTTTCCCAACAAGAAAGGACTGACTTTCCAGACTTAAGCAGAGAGACATCACAAATAGTTTGATGGCAGAAACATCTAGAAAATTTGTGGGGGCCAGCGCTGTGGCTTAGCAGGTGAAGCCACTGCCTGCAGTGCCGGCATCCCATATGGCCGCTGGTTCAAGTCTCTGCTGCTCCACTTCCAATCCAGCTCTCTGCTGTAGCCTGGGAAAGCAGTAGAAGATGGCCCAAATCCTTGGGCCCTTGCACCTGTGTGGGAGATCCAGAAGAAACTCCTGGCTCCTGGCTTTGGATCGGCACAGCTCCAGCCATTGCAGCCAACTGGGGAGTGAACCAGTTGATGGAGGCGCTCTCTCTCTTTCTCTCTGCTTCTCCTTCTCTCTCTGTGTGTAACTGAGTTTCAAGTAAATAAATAAATCTTTAAAAAAACCTGTGCTTCAAAAACATCCTTAAGTCATGGTTGCAGTGAACTCGCAGAAGGCTGGCACTGTGACTCACTAGACTAAGCCTCTGCCTACGGCGCCAGGTTCTAGTCCCGGTTGGGGCACCAGATTCTGTCCTGGTTGCTCCTCTTCCAGTCCCTGCTGTGGCCCAGGAGTGCAGTGGAGGATGGCCCAAGTGCTTGGGCCCTGCACCCGCATGGGAGACCAGGAGAAGCACCTGGCTCCTGGCTTTGGATCAGCGCGGTGTGCCAGCCGCAGCGTGCTGGCTGCAGTGGCCATTGGGGGATGAACCAATGGAAAAGGAAGACCTTTCTCTCTGTCTCTCTCTCTCACTGTCCACTCTAAATCAGAAACTTTAGCTCACAGCAGGTCCAAATCTATTCCTAATAATATGCATTACAATGTTACTTATAGTAGTAGAAGAGGAAATAAGTATTAGGAAGATGGTTACATTGATGATGTATAAACTCAAGGTATCCAGGACTATATGAAGAACTCCAGAATTTCAGGGGCAGAATAGTCCAGCTCATACAGTGGGCAAAGGACTTGATTAACATTTCTCCCAAGAAGATAAGTCAGTGTCAATCAGCACCTGGAAAGGTACTGTCACTAATCACTCGGGACAGGCAAATCAAAACCTCTGATAGATGTCACTTTTAGTCCAGGTGGATTCCATTTCTCATCCAAGTAGACGCCACTTCCCATCTAGGTAGATGCCACTTCCCATCCAGGTAGACGCCACTTCCTATCCAAGAGGATACCACGTCCCATCCAGGTAGATGCCATTTCCTGTCTAGGTAGACACCACTTCCTATCCAGGTAGACGCCACTTCCCGTCCAGGTAGACTCCACTTCCCGTCCAGGTAGACTCCACTTCCTGTCCAGGTAGACTCCACTTCCTGTCCAGGTAGACTCTACTTCCTGTCCAGGTAGACTCCACTTCCTGTCCAAGAGGATGCCACCCCCATCCAGGTAGATGCCACTTCCTATCCAGGTAGACGCCACTTCCTGTCCAGGTAGACTCCACTTCCTGTCCAGGTAGACTCTACTTCCTGTCCAGGTAGACTCCACTTCCTGTCCAAGAGGATGCCACCCCCATCCAGGTAGACTCCACTTCCTGTCCAGGTAGACTCCACTTCCCGTCCAGGTAGACTCCACTTCCCATCCAGGTAGACTCCACTTCCTGTCCAGGTAGACTCTACTTCCTGTCCAGGTAGACTCCACTTCCTGTCTAGGTAGACTCTACTTCCTGTCCAGGTAGACTCCACTTCCTGTCCAAGAGGATGCCACCCCCATCCAGGTAGATGCCACTTCCTGTCCAGGTAGACGCCACTTCCTATCCAGGTAGACTCCACTTCCCGTCCAGGTAGACTCCACTTCCTGTCCAGGTAGACTCTACTTCCTGTCCAGGTAGACTCCACTTCCTGTCCAGGTAGACTCTACTTCCTGTCCAGGTAGACTCCACTTCCTGTCCAAGAGGATGCCACCCCCATCCAGGTAGATGCCACTTCCTGTCCAGGTAGACTCCACTTCCCGTCCAGGTAGACTCCACTTCCCATCCAGGTAGACTCCACTTCCTGTCCAAGAGGATGCCACCCCCATCCAGGTAGATGCCACTTCCCGTCCAGGTAGACTCCACTTCCCGTCCAGGTAGACTCCACTTCCCATCCAGGTAGATGCCACTTCCCGTCCAGGTAGACTCCACTTCCCGTCCAGGTAGACTCCACTTCCTGTCCAGGTAGACTCTACTTCCTGTCCAGGTAGACTCCACTTCCTGTCCAAGAGGATGCCACCCCCATCCAGGTAGATGCCACTTCCTGTCCAGGTAGACTCCACTTCCCGTCCAGGTAGACTCCACTTCCCATCCAGGTAGATGCCACTTCCCGTCCAGGTAGACTCCACTTCCCGTCCAGGTAGACTCCACTTCCTGTCCAGGTAGACTCTACTTCCTGTCCAGGTAGACTCCACTTCCTGTCCAAGAGGATGCCACCCCCATCCAGGTAGATGCCACTTCCTGTCCAGGTAGACGCCACTTCCTATCCAGGTAGACTCCACTTCCCGTCCAGGTAGACTCCACTTCCTGTCCAGGTAGACTCCACTTCCCGTCCAGGTAGACTCCACTTCCCATCCAGGTAGATGCCACTTCCCGTCCAGGTAGACTCCACTTCCCGTCCAGGTAGACTCCACTTCCCGTCCAGGTAGACTCCACTTCCTGTCCAGGTAGACTCTACTTCCTGTCCAGGTAGACTCCACTTCCTGTCCAGGTAGACTCTACTTCCTGTCCAGGTAGACTCCACTTCCTGTCCAAGAGGATGCCACCCCCATCCAGGTAGATGCCACTTCCTGTCCAGGTAGACGCCACTTCCTATCCAGGTAGACTCCACTTCCCGTCCAGGTAGACTCTACTTCCTGTCCAGGTAGACTCCACTTCCTGTCCAGGTAGACTCCACTTCCTGTCCAGGTAGACTCCACTTCCTGTCCAAGAGGATGCCACCCCCATCCAGGTAGATGCCACTTCCTGTCCAGGTAGACTCTACTTCCTGTCCAGGTAGACTCCACTTCCCGTCCAGGTAGACTCCACTTCCTGTCCAAGAGGATGCCACCCCCATCCAGGTAGATGCCACTTCCCGTCCAGGTAGACTCCACTTCCCGTCCAGGTAGACTCCACTTCCCATCCAGGTAGACTCCACTTCCTGTCCAGGTAGACTCTACTTCCTGTCCAGGTAGACTCCACTTCCTGTCCAGGTAGACTCTACTTCCTGTCCAGGTAGACTCCACTTCCTGTCCAAGAGGATGCCACCCCCATCCAGGTAGATGCCACTTCCTGTCCAGGTAGACGCCACTTCCCGTCCAGGAGGATAACTTGAGTGTTGGTGAGGAACCCTTGTGCACTACTGGGGTGGTTATAAAGTGGAACAGCTGCTGTGAACACTGTTCTTCACACAACCAAAAGGGATACCATACAATCCAGCACTTCTTGTTCTGGATGGAGATCCAGAAGAATAGAAACCGCAGACTCCCAGTGATGTATTTGTGTGTCATATTCACAGCAGCATATTTACAGTAGCTGAAAGGGAGAGCAACCCAGATGCCATGAAGGGGCGACCCAAATGAGATGCTGCGTACCCTTAATCAGGAGAGCTGTGGCTCATGCTGCAGCGTGGATGGACTTGGACATGCCATGGGGACTTTATGCTGCATGAAATGAGCTTGTCACAAAATTGGTCAAGACAGGAAGGAGGTGACCGGTCAGCCCTGGGTCCTGAGACTAACCAGAATTTTATGTCAGACTGAAGCTTGTCCCAGGCCTTGCATGCTCAGATCCCTCTCAGATGCATCTGAAACCCAGGCAGGGCCCCAGACCCAAAGTATTTTAATTGATCAGAGCAAAATTTGGAGAAAATAAATATTAGCCTTTTGTTACTGTGATGAAATGCCTATGGCAGGCTACTTTATAAAGAAAAGAGGTTTCTTTTGGCTCATAGTTCTGGAGTTGCAAGGTCTGGGGTCTGGTCTAGTAGTGGCCACCTTGCCAAGACCTTGCCAAGCCCGAGCTGATCGAAGAACATGGTGTGTTGAGAGACAGGCAGAGCATGGGAGTCTGCAACTGTCCCTCTCTGTGTATAAAACCACCCCAACACCATCTTCAGAACGCTTCCACCCTCCTGATCCCACTAACGTAAGACAGGGGATTCAGCCACACCTGAGAAGGACAGCCCCTGGCAATAAATACCTAGTGAGGTAGTGAGGAGTGCCCAGTGGCCCAGGAAGTGCTGCTTCCAGGAAAGACCCTGGAGTGAGGTGCTCCAGCACCCCAGCACCCTCTCCCGGTCCCCCTGGCCCAGGGTAAACACTGGAGGAGCAGCGTCCCTTCCCAAGTGCCCTCAGCTTGGCCTCCTCCCCTCCCCGTCCCACTTGCCGCCTGCCTCCAGCCTCCAGAGAGAACTTTAAGATAGCATTTGAGCCAAAGAGAAACCTGTGTGATTTGTTTGGTGTGCTGAGGTGCAAGGACCGCTCCCCAGCGTGACCTCCTCCTTGTGGGAGCTCACTCGCTGACACCGCAGTCATGTTCATGCACACCTTCCCCGGCCCCTACAGAGGCACACAGCTAACCTCCTCCTTCTCTTTTCCAGGCAAGGTACGCTGGCCTTGTCTTCCTCCACCCAGGCTGGCCGCTGTGCATCCACGAGAAGGTGGTGGTGCAGCTGGCATCCCTGCACGAGGCCAGGCTCCGGCCTGGAGACTTCTACCTGCAGGTTACATCAGCCGAGAGGCAATCAGCCAGGCTGGTCTTGAAATGCCTCTCCCCGCTGGGGAACACAGAGGAAGTCACCGTCCCTGAGGCCATGTATGGCTGTGTCTTCACGGGAGAGTTTCTGCAGCAGGTGAATGCAGGCCGGGGCTGTGTCCCTTTGCAAAACTGCCTTCTGACCTCGGGCTCTGCCGTTCACCGTACCCCGTGGAGCAGTGTCACAGACCCTGTCTTTCTACCCGCTGGAGCCATCCCGCAGACCTGCCCCAGCCATGTGGGGCCTGAGAAGTCCCTGCTGGGCAGCACCTCAGAGGTCCCAGGGCCAGCACGAGCCATGGCTAGCAGCACGACTCTGCCTCACCACCATGGGCATCTGGGCTGTGAGCAGCCCGGGCACCCGCCCTACCTAAGAAGAGCTGACTTGGATGGCCCCAGGAAAACTGCCGACAGAGGTGTGATGAAGGGCAGGCAGGAGTCCCCTGAAAGCAATAGGGGCCTGGACCCCACAGACCAGGACAGTCCTCACCCCACCTGCCCTGGAGACCTGAGCAGCCCGCAGGCCAGGAGGAAGCTGGTGGGGGATCGTGCGAGAGCAGAGGCCAGACGGTGGTTCAGGAAATCGTACATGGAGGCCCTGAGGAACCCTATGCCCCTTGGCCCCAGCTCCGAGGAGTCCCTGACTGGCAATAAGGACCTTAAAGCTGGGATGATGACCAGCCCAACACAGAGAGAATCTCCTGACCCCACAGGGAGCCCTCAACAGACCCTGAGCAAAGAGAAAACAGTTGCCCTGAGGTGGACCTGCTCAGGAGCCTCAGGGAGGACCCGTCCCAGGAGGTCTCAGTCCTGGGACAGGTCACTCAGAAGCTCCCAGAGGACAGAACCTGCAGCCCACAGGACCTCCCACCATGCAGTGAGCAGGGGCTCTGGGGGTCTCTCAGGAGGACACGCTGTGGGAACCAGAAACGCCTGCTCTGTCAGCCCATCTCATGTTGCAGCTGCAGCTCCCACCTGCACCCAGGAGGAAGGTCAGTGCTCTGCTCCCTCTCCCTCCCTCTCCCCTCCCATCTGCACCAAGGATGAAAGTTAGTGCCCCCCCCACACCCCTTGTCGGTATTTGGGTGCTTCCTGGCTCACAGGAAACCTGTCCCCATGTTCACATGGACTTACACTGTAGAGATGAGTTCAGCCCTGTGGTGGGCAGGACTGTGCTCCCTCTGGGGGCTCCACGGGCTTCTTTTTACCTCTTCCAGCTTCTGGGAGCTGCAGGCGTCCTATGACTTGTGGATGCGTCCCTCTGTCCTCTGTTCCTGTTTTCACATGGCCTCTCCCTCTTCTCATACAAGGGTACCTGTCCTTGGAGGTGGTCTCAGATCATTCATTCATCCAACAAATGGTATCTGAGTTGTCAGGGCTTGATTAGCACAGTGGATATCTGCTCTGATTTTGGCGTTTTTTAAAATTTAATTTTTTATTGAGGGACAGATACTCCCCCAATCTGCAGCGCCTGAGGCTGAGCTAGGTTGAAGCCTGGAGTCAGGATCTTAATCCAGGTCTCCCATTTGAGTACCAGGAACCCAACTACTTGGGCCATCACTGCCTCCCAGGTTCTGCATTAGCAGGAAGCTGGAGTCAGGAGCCAGACTTGGGTATCCAGTATGGAACACAGGTGTTTTAACTGCTAGGCCAATCGCCTGACCTCCTGGCTTATAAGAGACCCAGACCCTCAGGCTTCCCCTCCCATGGCCCCATGCTCTGTACTGAGTTGAAGAAGAGCCCACAGGAGCAGCCTGATGAGAGCAGTCCCATGTAAAAGTGACATCTGCACTTCCCACGCACGTGGGCAGCCTGGGCTTCACTGTAGAACTGGAGCCTCTGGGCCCAAATACCAGTAGCCTGTGGGGTGTTCTGGAAGACACTGGAACAGGCGTGATGAAGTCCACTTTGAAAAGCACTGTGTGCGGGGCCGGCACTGTGGCACAGCGGGTTAACGCACTGGCCTGAAGCACTGGCATCCCATATGGACGCCGGTTCAAGACCTGGCTGCTCTGCTTCCGATCCAGCTCTCTGCTGTGACCTGGGAAAGCAGTGGAAGATGACCCAAGTCCTTGGGCTCCTGCACCTGTGTGAGAGACCCAGAGGAAGCTCCTGGCTTCGGATCGGCGCAGCTCCAGCTGTTGTGGCCAATTGGGGAGCGAACCATCGGATGGAAGACCTTTCTCTCTCTCTCTGCCTTTCCTCTCTGTAACTCTGACTTTCAAATAGGTGAATAAATCTTTAAAAAGAAAGAAAAAAGAAAAGCACTGTGTGACTGACACCCAGGAAACCCCAGGCAGACAGATAACAGTTCCCAAAGCAACCCTGCAAGGAACAGCGCAGTCATGGGTGAAGCCAAAAGTATGAGTGAAGGAGCTAGAAACGAGGCCATGCAGGGTTCGATCCCTCTGATACGAAGTGCCCAGAATAAGGGGGCTCTCCAGACACAGGAGGGAGCCGAGACAGAGCTGGTGCTCGCGGCTCTCGTGGAACCATTCTAAACCGGCTGGTGGCGGCGTTCTGCTCGGCTAAGTAGCTAAAACAGGTGTGTGCGTTAGGTGTAGAGCACACCTGTTTAAAGAAGAGAAAGTGTGGGTGTTTCTGGCCCAGGTGGAATGAGAAAGCCACTGAAGTAGTCAGGGATCTCAGAAGAAAGAGTGTGGGCTGCTCCTGTGCAGTCCCGAAGGCCTCAGGGGCCCCACGTCCCGCTGGGCCATCCCCCCTGCTCTGGACCTGGCCAGGGAGCTGCCGACCACAGCCGTGATATGGTTCAGCCCCTGTGTCTGGTGTGCAGGCATGGGCTGCCCGCTGCCTGCCCTCTGGGAGTTGCAGAGTGAGGCCCCACTCCTCTGAGAGACACCGCCTGCCCCTGGGGTACCTGCACCCCTGTGGATGTGTTTATGACACACGGTGACATCTGTGTTAGAAAGTCCGTGTTTCTTCCTGGGGCGGCTGTCAGTCGTGAGCCACACGTCCTCCAGGATCAGGGCGATGCTCACGGAGCCATTGCGTCCACGTGAAAATTGAGCGATTTTCCTCAAACCACAGGGAAACCACTCCCATCTGACCCATCTCTCTGCTCTGCTCAGCTGTTCTTCCTACCCCAGCCTTCGTCCGAGAACGGGAGCCCAGCAGGTGTCCAGATGTGACTGCTGAGCTGCTATGCTCTGAGGGTGAAGGGCGGCCACCCAGCACTGTGGACCTCCCCAGCCAGGGACCCCAGCAAGTGCTGGACACCAGCCAGGAGCTGCTGCAGTCCGGGGTCATCACCCTCCCAGGTGAGTTTGTGCCAGCTCCCTGCCCAGGCCTTAGTCAACAACACAGATCAGGGCTTACAGACCCTCGCTTGCCACCCCAGCTGGAAGCCCGCTGGTGGCGTCCCCTGTCGCTCCCCGTCTTCATGGGGGAACGACACTAAACCCTGCCTAGGCTTCATATCCGAGTCACGGCACCATTATGTCGCTCCCCCTCTTCGTGGAGGAGCAACACAGGACCCTGCGCTGTTCTCTCGTCTGCTCGGCCCTCCCCGGGTTTGCTGCTGGTTCTTCCCGGGTTGGCTACTATCCCTTCCACCTCCGTGGAAGGGCAGTTCCCCCTGGCCGCATTCCCCACTTCCGCAGGGGAGCGGCACACCGCCGGCCGGCTTTCTCGGGGGCTGCACGGGTTCCCTTCAGCTAGATGTTCCCCATAGATGTTCCCGGTGCATGCCGTCTCTCTCCTCCTTTATAGTCCTCCTCCGCCAATCCTAACTCGGCTGCCCACACGCCGAGTACGCTGCTCTCCAATCAGGAGCAAGTCCTACAGTTTATTGGTTGAACTGGAGGCAGCTGGGTAGAAGCTGTTTTCTCCTCTCCCAGCGCCATATTGTAGGAGAGCAGATGCATAGAATAAGTCTTAATTCCAGTAACTTAGTCTAGTCCGAGCTGCTCCCCACAGAGGAGAGCAGATGCATAGAATAAGTCTTAATTCCAGTAACTTAGTCTAGTCCGAGCTGCTCCCCACAGTCCCCATTCATGGTGCCACTGTCTCTGCAGGGACCCGTGACCGCCACGGCAGGGCAGTGGTGCAGGTCTGCACGAGGGGCCCGCTCTGGTCCAGCAAACACTCGTCCCATGCCGAGCTGAGCTGCCTGCTGATGTACCTCTGTGGCATCCCCAGGTAGGCCCCGGGCCAGGCTCTCGCCTTGCAGACCCAGTTGGCTCCAGCCACATTCCTGGCAGAGGAGGCCCTGAGGCAAAGAGGCTGCAGGGTTGTGGGAGGAGGGGGTGCCACATCTGTGCCAGATGCCTGCTTCCTTCACACGTCACAGCTCCCGAGTGCTTCTCGCGGACTTGAGGAGCACTGTTTCTCATCCGCAGCAAACATCGAGTTGTAGATATTCTTTAGCAGAGCTGTGCCCTGGACATGGGCGAGGATGCAGCCGTCCCAGCCTGTGTGGGTGGTGGCCTCACCCTGGCTCACAGTGCACGTCCACGCTGCAATGAGCATCCTCGCGCCTGGCTCACTCGGAAAGAGTGTCCACTGACCCTGGACGTTAGAGCAGTAAACCTCTGAAGGAGGAGTCAGCGCACCCTATTAAATTTAGATCTGAAACTTCCCGTCACAATCAGATCAAGTTTTTACATGGAGGGTTCCAAACACAGGAGATGGTCATCTTAGTCTCAAAAGATGGCCTAACATGGGCCAGTGTTGTGGCACAGTGGGTTACGCTGCCGCCTGCGATGCCAGCATCCCATGCGGGCACTCGTTTGTGTTCTGCTGCTCTGCTTTAGATCCAGCTCCCTGCTAATGGCCCGGAAAAGCAACGGAAGATGACCCAGGTCTTTGGGCCCCTGTCACCCATGTGGGAGACCCAGAAGAGGCTCGTGGTTTCTGGCTTCTGCCTGGCCCAGCACTGGCCATTGTGGCCATCTGGAGAGTGAAACAACAGATGGAAGATCTCTGTCTCTCACTCTCTCTCTGTAACTCTGCTTTTCAAAAACATCAAATAATCTTTTTTTAAATATCCTAGCCACCTCTTGCTAGCTATGGGTAAATAATGAGCCAGGTGGCTGACTCAGCCTCATTCTGGAGACGGGGCTGAGCTGACCCCCAGGACCAGGCTCGTGTTTGTGGGGAAGCCAGCCCCCTGTGAAGTCTTTTCTTCCTGGATGGGCAGTTGCAGGGCCTTGGTCACCCATTGTGGGGTGTTTAAGAGGAAGTAACCCCAGCCTGCCGGAGCTGTGTCTGCTAGGTGAGCCAATGCACTGGTGGGCAGTGGCCCTCGGGAAGCAGGACCCAGAGGAGAATCCCCAGTGTCTGGAACCGGCCCAGATGGAGCCTCAAGATGGAAAAGCTAGTTTGGGTTGGTTGAGACCGGCTGTGTTTCTCTCCCCAGGAAGGAGGTGCGGGACCTAGGGCTGCTCGTCCTGGTGGACGCCCGCAGAAGTCCAGTCTCCCCTGCTCTCTCCTGGGCCCTCTCTGGACTGCAGGTGAGGCTGAGTCTTCACCCGCCAGGGGATCCCAGAGCATCTCTGTGCCACATGCTGCAGGGCCTCCTGTGGCAGCTGGCCCGTGGTCACCTCCACGGCTACTAATGCTTAGCATTGAAGGGTAGAGAGCCCTCTCCTGCCCAAGGCTGGGCCCAGGCTCTCTGGGAAATCCTGTCTGCTCCATCTGCTGGGTCCTTGGGACACGGAGAGTGCCCTGTGCCCAGTCCCTGAAACCATTTCGCCTCCTAGAGTGGGCATTTGACAGCCTGGAGGATCTTGGGGAGTGCCTGGGGCCTTTCTCCCAGTGCCTTGATGATGACCCCTTCTTCTGTGGGAGTCTTAGCCCCACCCTCAGTTCCTCCCTTGAAAATGCTCTTTCATTTTCTGCGCACAACCAGGCTGAGAACTTTCCAAGTCTGCTGTTTCCCTGTCATCTGTAGTTCTGTCTTCAAGTCATCTCTTTGCTCTGTCATTTCGCCGGTGGCACAGCAGCCTCAATGGAGTGCTGCTGGAGAAGTTTCTTGCGCTAGGTAACCTGGTGCATCACTGTCGAGTTCTGCATTACTTCTGTCCCTAGGGCATGAACACAGTGCAGCCAAGCTCTCTGCAAATGTAAAATGAGGATGGTTTTACTTTCTAATACCTGGTAACTCAGTTCCATTAAGCGTGTGAAAATAGGCTCAGCATCATTAGTCACGGGGGAAATGCAGCTTAAAACCAAAATGAGACAACACACAAAGCAACAGCAACAAGCCACAAAACCTGACAGTAACCAGTGCTGGGTGTTTGTTGTTGGAAACGCACAGTCGTGCAGCCTCTCTGGAAGACACACTGGTCAAGTGACCCAGAAGGCCTGTGTTCCCCAGGAAGTCACCTATGATTGCCAAGAACTAGCATCAGTCACTACCCTTCAGTGGGTGCACAGACTGTGGTGTGCAATACTGCAGATGGTAAAGTGCAACTCGCAACAGAAGGGAGTGAGCCCTTGGTAAATACACGGGTGAATCCCGAATGCACTGTGATAAGTGTACAAATGCTGACACTGCCAGTCCATGTCTGTCATATCTGGGAAAGACAAATTTGTGGAGACAGAAGTCAGAGCAGTGCTTGCTGGGGCTGGGGTTAGGGGAAAGCCTGGCTCTATGGAGCATGGCAAAGTTGTTGGTTAACTGTTTAGTCTCATGATTGTGGTCTTCTTTATGTGACTATGCCTTTGTCAACACTTGCAGAACTGGACATTAGAAAGTGTGAATGTTATTGTGTATAGATTATACCTCAACAAATCTGATTGCATTAACTTTTGTAAGAGCAAGTAGCTCACATTCAGGGCAAAATCAGCATGCCAGGTGCTTTGGGGACATATTTGTAAGATAGAACTAGCACCAATCGCAATTAGAGAATTCTGTTAACTTGATAAAGTAAAAAAATAAAAAGCTACTCACGGGACCAGCGCTGTGGCGCAGTGGGTTAAAGCTGCCACCTGCAGTGCCAGCATCCCATATGGGGGCTCCACTTATGATCCAGCTCTTTGCTATGGCCTGGGCAAACAGTAGAGGATGGCCCAAGTCCTTGGGCCCCTGAACCTGCATGGGAGATCCAGAAGAAACTCCTGGCTCCTGGCTTTGGATTGACGCAGCTCTGGCCATTGTAGCCATCTGGGGAGTGAACTAGTGGATGGAAGACCTCTCTCTGCCTCTGCTTCTCCGTGTAACTCTGCCTTTCAAATAAATAAATAAATCTTTTTTTAAAAAAAATCTACTCATTAATATTTATGTCTTATTTATTTCAGAACACATCTCCTCCCGTAATTCATAGTGTTTTGCTGCTGGTGGATAAAGAATCCGCATTTAGCCCTGACAGGGGTACGACAATCCAGGTGAGGGTGACCGAGTCTCAGACGGGACAGAGTATCTGAGCACCAGGGAAGAGCGCTGGCAGGACTGGCTAGGGGAGATACTGGCGGGGAGCGGGCGTTTGGGGCAGTGACTGCGTTGCTGCCTGGGACAGAGCACCTGGGTTGGAGACCCGGCTCCTCTGCGTCTGGTCCAGCTGCCTGCTAATGCAGACCCTGGGAGGCAGTGGCAATGGCTCGAGTACTCAGGTCCCTGCAACCCATGTGGGAGACCTGGGGTGAGTTCCAGGCTCCTGCTTTTCCCAGCCTTGGCTTTTGGAGGCATTTGGGAAGTGAATTATCAGATAGAAGATCTCTGCCTGTCTCTCTGCCTTTCAAATAAAATAAAAATAGATATATTTTTAAATGAAAGTTTTTAAATGTCACATTCCTTTCCAGCAGATAGATAGATAGATCTCTCTCTCTCTCTCTCTCTCTCTCCATCACTATGCCTTTTAAATAAATAAATAAATAAATCTTTAAAAAAGAAGAAGCTGGTTAGTGTGGCTGCAACCTATATCACAATGCTTGGGTTCCACACCTGGCTCCCCTCCTGACCTAGCCCCTGCTGGTGCAGACACCGAGGGCCAGTAGTGATGGCTGAAGTCACTGGGTACCTGCCACCTAGTAGGGGGCCTGGGTTGAGTTCCTGGGAGTGAACCAGCACATGGGAGTGTTCTCTGGTTCTCTGTCTGTCTCTCTCTGTGTCTGTCTGCCTCTCAAATAAATAAGCAGGTAAATAACTCTTAACAACGGTAGGAAAGAGCTTATGTAAATTTCTGTTGCAGCTGTGTGGGTACCTGGAGACCTGCTTCATGCTCCTTACCTCCTAGGAGCCCTGCAGAGTAAACTCAAAAAACTTTAAAATCTGCCTTTCCCTTCCACCTCGCTCTGTCTCCTCTTTGCCTTCTTCTCGACACATACCTTGCTAGTTGCTGAAGTCCGTCTTGAGAGCAGCCTGAGTGCCAGCTCCGTGAAGAGGTCCGTGTGCCTGGCTGCGTGGCACCAGTGGACAGTCCGTGGGATCTACAGCGTCACTCAGCCCAGCCTTCCGCTCTGTTTTTAGCAAATGCTGACTGAGTACGCAAGGTCCTCTTCACGTTTGTCCTGTGCAGGTTTGGTGGGACTGCATGGATTTGTAAAGTTGTGTCTATTGCCAGCCCAAGGACTTCCTTAGCCAGTTTGTCCTGCCTGTCCTCTGCCCTCGTCTCCCTGTAGGGGACTTGAGGGCCACTGACATGGTCCCACGGGCTGCCTGGCGTCTGCCGTTTTTCCAGCGTTCTTCAGATTGGTTGTTTCTGTGGCTCTGTCTCTAGGTCACTGACTCCTTATTCTGCTGTTTCTATTCATCGGTTAAGCTTAGCCAGGGAGATTTTTAGTTCAGATGGTGTGTGTTCAGCTGTAAGGTTTCCAGTGGGTTTAAACACTGTCTCCTGCGGTGTCTATCCTCTTCTGAGCTGCAGGATTTTCCTTTCCTTCACGGAGCGGACGTAGCGCTGCTTGTCCACGAATTCCACTGCTGCACCGCCGGCAGGCTGGCCCCTGCTGGCCGTCTTCTCTCGAAGACGGGCCGCCTTTTCTGGTCCCTCACATGCTGAGTGGCCCAGCTGCGTTCTGGACGTCAGGGAGGTGCTGCTGTGGGGGCTGGAGCTCCGACTCCTCCGCTGCATCTGGTTCTTGCCGTGTGAGCATGGGTGAGGGCTAACCGCGGGCTTAGTCCCGTCCCCACGCAGCCCAGGCTGTGCGTCTGCAGCTCTCCCTCTGCCTCTGGGACTCTTCCTCCACTCCCCGGGAGCGGTGGCTACCCTGGCTCTGCCCATTTTCTGTAGGAGCCTCACACTGGCAGTCCGCCTGCAGGCCAGAGCCATGCTGGCCCTTGCTCCAGGTCCCAGCTGCTGCCCACACAGCCGGACTTTGCTCACCACCCCTCTCTCCCGTGGCCCTTGTCTGAGGGCCAGCGCTGCCAGCCCAGGACACTGTTTTTGCGTCCCCCTCATGTCTGCCCTCTCCTCCCTCGTGCCCCATTTCTGGGTCTGCTGTTCATCGTGGCCTCTCCATTTCTCTTGGCTGTTCTCTTCCCACTTTCCTGACTGTGCCTAAACGTGCAGTCCTCAGGGCCCTGCAGGGCACAGAGACCCCTGCCCAGGCTCCCACCCACTGCCCAGTGCAACAGTTCTGCAGGAACAGGCCTGCTCACTGGTGTTTCCCCCAAGAGGGGCCTCTGGGGCCATAACCAATGAATGCCTCCCATTGGCAGTGTGAGGTGGTGAGCTCCCTGAAGGCCCTTCACAAGCTTGTGGACAGCTCCCAGCTGACCGCAGACCTGGATGGCTCGTTCCCCTACAGCCACAGAGACTGGATCTGCTTCCGCATGGTAAGGTATAGCTAGCTCATGGCTGCCACACACACCAGTCTCCCGCGACTTTGCAGGTGCTTTCCTCAGAGTTGGAAAGGGCTTTCCCATCCTGACTGGTGCCGAGTCGGAGTCTGCGTGATCTCGCAGGAGTGGCCCCAGCGCGCTGAGCCCTGGGCGGCAGGCGCTGCTGCCCTGCGTTTTGCAGATGCCCAGAAAGCACACAACACACAGCAGCTCCCACTCGAGATCGGCTGAAGCAGGGCCCGGGCGCTGCGTTCAGCCCTGACAGAAGGTGTCTTTGTCGCCTCCCTCTCAACCCCTGGCAGAAGCTGGAGGCCTTCACTGCAGACTGCAAGGAGGCCATCGTCTTCCTGCAGAATTCACTACGTTCCCTGGACACCCACAGAGTCCAAAGGACATCCCAGGTGAGTTCTCATAGGCACAGGTGAGTTTAGCTGGGTGGGGACTGGAGGTTTAGCCTCACTTGAGTGGCATGTGCTTGTGTGGCTCCCCGTTGCATGTGGCAGAGGTCTCTCCATGTTTCTGATCATTAGCAAAAGACTCCTGAAAGTCACAGCTCTTCCTCTGTTGCCAAAATATAATCCCCCCACGCACCCACGAGGCCACTACATGTAATGGCGTGTCTGTGCATGGGTGGCCGTTGCCAGGGGTGAGTGGTCCACACAGGACACAGGGAGAGGCTGGCCGTGCAGATCTCCATGGCCTGGAGTCCAGGTGCAGGGGCCCCAGATGCCTCCTGGGTGCCCAGGTCTGCCGGTGAGACCCAGGAGTAACCGGGTCTCCTGCTGCTAAGTTGGGAGCACGCTTCCTGCTCCTGCCCGTGAGCTTCGTCCTAAGATTCGCCCTCCCTCTCACATGTCCCTGCTGAGCCAGGCTGTCTGCGTGGGTGCAGCCTGTGCCCTCTTCCTGTTGGCCGTGGGGTGTTAGGCCATGGAGAGGGGGATTGAAAGGTGCTTTCCTCCCACCCCTCAGGAAGTCACTGAGGCGATCACGCGGCACGAGAAGATGATGAAGCTCGTCCTGGAAGATGCGCTGCTCGTGTGGCTCCGGCTGGAGGGCAGCGTGGTTCTGGCGCGGCTGAGGAGAGAAGGGCTTGGTGCAGGCCAGGACTGCCAGTGAGCGCTGACGGGGGCAGGGTTTGCCAGGCAGGGGGCAGCTTGGGGACATCGCAGCATGCAGGCATAAAGCCCTCTGTGCATCCTGGAAGCTCACCTGTATTCACGGGGAGCCGTGGTCCTAATTCCAGAGGCTGCCTGTGAGGCTGCGTCCACCCACCCACATTCTGTCGCCCTCACAGCTGCCCCACGCGGATTCCTGTTCTCTGTGGCTGATGGGGAGGTCACGAGCATGTCTGTTTCTGCTCAGACTGTGCTCCTCTAGGCATCCACTTCTCTGGCAGGAGAGATGTAGAGTCCAGGTCTTGTCCAGGAGGCCATCACCAAGAGCCGTTCCTCAAGGGCTGCCTGTGAAGGCTGTAGCAGTCAGGCCAGACCTCAGGGCTGTCTTCCTCTTCCAGAGATGCTGTTGAGGCCGCCTCCAGGCTGTACAACCAAGTGGACGAGGAAGTGCACAGGTTGGTCCTCGCCTCCAACAGGGGTCTGCAGCGGCTGGAGAACCTCCGGGAGCTGAGGACACTCGAGGAGGGGCACGACCAGGTCAGGGCCCATTGAATGGCCACAGTGACCCCCCTGCCTTCCACTGGCAGTTGGGGCTGTGACCTAATTTCCATTCTGAATGAAATTATGTCAGGACAGAGCATGCCCGGCTGCTCATGTAAAGAGAAATTCTTTGTGTTTTTTTTTGTTTGTTTGTTTGTTTGTTTTGACAAGCAGAGTGGACAGTAAGAGAGAGAGACAGAGAAAGGTCTTCCTTTGCTGTTGGTTCACCCTCCAATGGCCGCCACAGCCGGCGCGCTGCGGCCGGTGCACCACACTGATCTGATGGCAGGAGCCAGGTACTTATCCTGGTCTCCCATGGGGGTGCAGGGCCCAAGCACTTGGGCCATCCTCCACTGCACTCCCTGGCCACAGCAGAGAGCTGGCCTGGAAGAGGGGCAACCGGGACAGAATCCGGCGCCCCGACCGGGACTAGAACCCGGTGTGCCGGCTCCGCAAGGTGGAGGATTAGCCTAGTGAGCCGCGGCACCGGCCAAATTCTTTGTTTTGACACGAGAGACGCTGAATCAGTGGCAAAACGCTCGATCCCAGAGCACAGCTCCCTCCTGCGTTCAAAGGCAACGTCGTCTTTTCCTGCACAGGTGGAACGGTGGTTTGAAGAAGAACTTGGGAAATTCCTCGGCCCTCGGGAGCCGCTCTCCTGTGAGGATGTGGGGCAGCGACAGCAGGAGCTGCGGGCCTTGCTGGCCTCGGTGACGGTGGGTGCTCACCAGACCCCGCCCCCAGGACAGACCGAGCCTGGACGCTGGGCTCTGCTGATGCTTTGTTCCCTGGCCACAGCGATATTGTCAGAAAGGGCTGCAGCTGGTGAAGGAAAGCTCGCAAAACTCACAGGAAACAACCCAGGGCTTCCAAAGGCGCCTGAGTGCCATGGTCGGCCGGGCCGAGTGTCTGCAGGGAGAGCTGGCCTGCTGGACCCACCTGTCCACGCTCTACGAGACGGTAAGAGATCCAGCTATGGACAGCGTGGACAGTGTACCTCCCAAGGGCCCTGTGCTTTGGTGCCTCTGGGACAGCTGGCTCAGTGCCCATGTCACAGCCCTGTGGCTGCCACCAGCCCTCTCCGCGGAGGGCTCTCCAGAGACCTGTGTCAAGTTTATTTATTGTGCCAAATACAACAGTCAGATAAGCACGTTTCTATGTTATATATCACTTAGTTATAGTATATATAAACTTAGCTACATGTCACTTAGTAATAAAATCCTGCTTACATCCAAGACCTGAAACCACTGGTGCAACACAGCACATACCTGTGGACTCAGCCTAGACTTGCCCAGCCATTAGGACCACCCCCCAGGACAGGCTCTGGGGAGGTCATGGAGGTGGCAGGTCAGAGTGGGGCTCACTGCCCAGGCATGTCCTTGTCTCCAGCAAGGTTGTGGGATCCACTGCCCATCCCCATGGAGTCCTGTCCACCCTCAGGCAAGTCTGGTCAGCAGGTATCCCCACAGGCAACAGGACTTCCTCCTGCACTGGCCCTCTGGTCAGCCCAGTCCCTGATCTGGCCGCCTGCAGGGTGGCATGGACCTGAGGACTCAGATGCGGCCCAGCCTTGTGAACCATTACCACCCTTGCCTCCCTGACCAGCTCCTTGTTGCTCAGGTGGACAGGTGGCTGCTGCGCTGTACCAAGTACCCAGAACATGTGGTCCCAGAGCTGCGTCCCTCCTCACCGATCGCTGAGTACCTGAAGAGCTGCCACCAGGAGGCCACCAAGGTGACGGCAGAGGCCTTTCCCAGGGCCAGTGGGACCGTGCTGGGCCTGGGTGGCCAGCAGGCACTGCAGCGGTGGCGTGACCTGTGGCTGCGGTACCAGCAGACGCAGCTCCGCTTGGAAGAAGCCCTTGCTGGAGCCAGCCTGGGCCCTGGCATGCTGACCGTTGACCAAAGCCCGCCGGAGCTCAAGCTTGCCCAAGAGGCCACATGGAAGCACCGTGAACCCCCGACAGGTTCCCCTGCCAAGGTTGACGGCAGAGCTGGGGAATGGGCCCGAGGGCCATGCAGCCTCACTGGACAAGCCATTCTGTGTGGATGGGAGGGTCAAGGTCTGTGTGGTCCATGGGCTGTGCCACCCTCCCTGGGGGTAGCTGTGGGGCCAGGGGCCAGCATGACTGACACGGACAGCAGCTCCACCTGCTCCTCATACTCCACTTCAACACCAGCCGGCCGCCCCAGGAAACACCCCCTGAAGAAAATGATGAAGATTCCAGGTTTTGAGATGCCTCAGCTGGACAGTGGTCCCCGGGATGCCTGCCAATTGGGCCACACTGGGGTCTTCATCAGAGGCCTGGAGGTGACGGGCACTGTGCCAAGGCTGCCTGCGGGGTGCCCCCCAGTCCCTCGGAGCCGCAGTCTGTCCTCTCCTTCCAGGACGCAACCCCCTGAGGAGGTGGGGGCGCAGCACACAGGAAGGTGAGGTGGACGCCCCTGCCCCGTCCTCAGGGCCTAGTGGCCGCGGCTGTCTGGGAGCCAAAGATACTGGCATGCGCTGCCCTCTGCAGACCTCGCCTTGCCGCCACCCTGCGCTGTGCCGGCACCCCCGCCAGGGGAACGAGACGGCCCCTGCCCTGCTCAGGACACCATTACGAGAGCTCCTGTGGAGCCTCACCCGCTGCGTGAGGCGTAACTACGCGGGCAGCTCCAGTTATGTGGGCCCATTTATAGAAACTGCAGCAGGCGCATTGGGCCCATGAAGTGAAACGTTCCTTTAAAAAGTACTCCTTTAAAAATGTCTGCACGTGAAGGGGTGAGGAGGGTGTGCCCGTGATGCAGATGCTGTTTTAGCTCATCACTTTTTCACCACGAGGTTTGTGCAGAGACGAGAAGCGCCAGGGTCAGCCCCTGGAGCTCACTCACAGGCTGTTCACCCGGGTCACAGTCTTCTGTGCGGCCACTGCCGCCACGGCCCTGGAGAGGAGGCGGCATGTGTGTGTGAGTTTTCGTGGCTGTGGGGAGGGGTGGCCTGTGTGTGTGTTTTCTTTGCTCACGGGGCTTGTTCTTTAAGCTTCGTGGGAGGTGTTTCTTCCTCATGCCTACGGTGTGGCTTTGATCTGAACTCGGAAGCTTACAAAACACTCCTCTGAAAGATGCTTTAGGTTTTAGAACCTGGCTGTTTGTCTTGTTGAGGGTGGAACCCGAGCTGGAAGGTGAAGGATTGATTTGCTGTTGACAGGAGGGTATTGCCAGCCAGGTCAGGAGAGGTAGGATCTTCTGAATCCATCAGAAATGCCGCCACCCTCCCCAACCCCCAACCTCTCTGGTCGGCCTCTGTACGTAGTTCATTTCGAAGGTTCTAGGCGAAGCAGGCAGTGAGGGCTGCCCTCCCGCTGAGAGTGGGCACACCCTCTGTCACTTCTGGCCATTATTACCTGTAGTGTGAACCATCCCAAATCCCCCCCCAGTGTAGATAGTTCCTGAGATTTAAAAAGGACGTTGCGGGAGCCTTTGGTTTAGTGGGGACACCTCCCAGCTGGCCACCAGGGGGAGCTCTCCTACCAGGAACAGCAAGCACTTGTGAGGTGGGCGAGGGCAGGCACAAGCTGTCCAGCTCTGCTGCGGGTGGGATGTGTACTTCAGGAGTTGCTTTTAATTTTTTTCCACTTAAAAAAAAGGCAAGTTAAGTGGAAATAATGGCAGAAGACAATCTGCCAGCCCCGACTGGTGACACTGAGATTGAGTGGGGTGGGGTGTGGTGTGTGCAGGAGGGAGAAAGGGTTAGATGATGGATGGACGTGAGACAGATTAGCAGGAGGGAACTGTGCAGGGCCTCCCACGGGTGAGCCGTGGACACCCAGCCAGAACGAGGGTCTCAAGCCAATGGGGCACTTCTGGAAGTTTGAGAATTTATAGGTAACTTTATTTTGGTGGGAAAAAATGGAAATCTGTGTATGGTTTCTTCTTAAACTCTTCCGAGATCGGGTGTATTCAGGGTGGTATGGCCGTAGACTCCAATGAACTCTCTGAAGACCCCTTATGTGCATGGATTTCAAAAATTTTTACACCTAAGTAAACATTTTAATTCCATTTTTGCTTTAACTTTTTGAAGCTCCCTGGTACCATCTCCATCCGGGCAGAGGGGGTGTGGAGAGGGAGAGTCAGTGAATTCCAGACCTCCTGTGGAAAGGTGACTGCCTGGCCTAGGCTGGCCTCACAGACTCTGCCCCTGCACACTCCTTGCCCGGGGAGGGGCTCCTGACAGCGGGTTCCTTTGGGGGCTCTGTCTCTAGGAAGGAGAGGCAGCACCTCAGGTGCCCTCAGTCCGGGGCGTAACATTGTCTGGAGGCAGCTTCCTATTGCAGACACTTTGCGAGTGTAGCTTTCCTCAACACACAAATTTCTTTCGCAAAAGGGCAGCTTTTCACATTTTGTTGGAATAAAACCCGTGGTTATCCTGGTATCCCACAGTCATAGTTTGGGGTTGGTGTGGCCCAGGCCCCACTTCCCTGTCTCCTGGGGTGGGGCCCCAGCTCACTGTGAACTTGGTCCTGTCCCTTGACAGTGCAGTTGGTTAGTGCTGCTGCAGCTTACAGCCTTGAGACAGCTCGGGCTCCATCCCAGAAGGAGCTAGAGAACACTCACACAGGGGCCCTGCAGCCCAGGCCACCAAGGTCCCCACATTGGCCACTGGCCATTAACCTAGTGACCGGCTGGTCGCAGCTAGCCAGCTTGTGAAAATAGGGAAGGCCTCAGCACCTGGCATCTGTAGGAAACAGTTATTTTGGATTCTAGGCATTATCATAAAACACCGGACCCAGCAAACAAAGAAAAGCCCACCTAATTAGGGAGACCCAGTGCTGCGTGCACACAAGGGACCGTGCTACCAAGCTGACCACACACTCAGGCACCGGCCAACTCAGTCTCACCTCTGTTGGGCAACACTGGTGGTTTCTGGCCAGTGTCTGGGCTCTGCCAACACTGGTGATATGAGGGCAGGACGTGGAGCAGCTGGAGACCGCATCCTGTACAGACGGTGAGCAGCAAGGCCCACCGGGGTGTTGGGAGCTCCTCGGATGTACCCATCGTGAGAATGGACATCGTGGCATGTCTGGCCTGCAGCCCCCTTCCCAGGACGCTCCTTTAAGGCAAGGGACCCCCGCCGTGGTGAGGGCTCCCACGGGCAGACACCATCCTGGAGCCTCACCTCTCCAGTGCCCGGGCGCCTGCCCCAGTCCTATTGCCCTCCTGCTCCAGCTGCTCAAGCCGCCCCTCAGTGGGCCGGGCCAGACCTGCAAACAGCAGCCTCAGGATGCAGGGTCTGCGTCTGGCAGCCGGGAGTCGCTCTTCTCTTTCAAAGGGGTCTTTGGTGAAAAAGACAAGTGCAACAAGTCTCTTTGATTTTTAAAAAATTTTTTTTTTTACTTTTTGACAGGCAGAGTGGACAGTGAGAGAGAGAGACAGAGAGAAAGGTCTTCCTTTTTCCATTGGTTCACCCCCCAGTGGCCGCTGTGACCGGTGCGCTGCAGCCGGCGCACCGCGCTGATCCGAAGCCAGGAGCCGGGTGTTTCTCCTGGTCTCCCATGGGGTGCAGGGCCCAAGCACTTGGGCCATCCTCCACTGCACTCCCGGGAAGTGGAGCTGCGGCGCTGGCCAACAAGTCTCTTTGAAATACATCTTTCCGGATGGCGCCACGGCTTACTAGGCTAATCCTCTGCCTGTGGTGCCGGCATCCCCAGGTTCTAGTCCCGGTTGGAGCACCAGATTCTGTCCCAGTTGCTCCTCTTCCAGTCCAGCTCTCTGCTGTGGCCCAGGAAGGCAGTGGAGGATGGCCCAGGTGCTTGGGTGCCTGCACCTGCATGGGAGACCAGGAGAAGCACCTGGCTCCTGGCTTTGGATCGGCGCAGCTCACCAGCTGCAACACACTGGCCGTAGCGGAAAAAGAAAGACCTTTCTCTCTCTCTCTCTCTCTCTCTCTCTCTCTCTCTCTCCCTCTCTCTCTCACTGTCTAACTCTGCATGTCAAAAAAAAAAAAAAAAAAGAAAGAAAAAGAAAAAGAAATACATCTTTCCTTCTCGTGTGCCTGTCCATCAAAGGTGCAACTCCAGTTGGTGGTGAGCGAGGGAGGCATGGGTGGGGCACACTTGAAACTACTGGCTCAGTTGCACGCACCAGATGTGCCCATGCCAGGGTAATCGCTGGTTATTCCTCCAGACTCTCAAAGTCTGCTTTTTGTTTCTGCCCAAAGCACACGGCGTCTTTAGCAAGAAGCCCAGATCCTGGCCCCATGGCCACGGCAGGCTGGACTTCATGGCTCCCTGTGTCTCCCCACAGCCGCCTGCAGCACATAGTGGCCGAGATGATCTCCACGGAGCAGGAGTATGTCCGGTCCTTAGGATACGTCATCGACAACTACTTTCCAGAGATGGACAGGATGGACCTGCCCCAGGGCCTGCGAGGGAAGCGCAGCGTCATCTTCGGGAACGTGGAGAAGCTCCGTGACTTCCACCAGCAGTGCTTCCTGCAGGAGCTGGAGCGCTGCCGGCACTGCCCCTTGGCCGTGGGCCGTGGCTTCCTGAGACACGTAAGTCCCCTCCTGGGGGGCTGTGTCCCAGGTGTGGGTGCTGGGTGCGCAGAGCGAACCCCAGTGGGGTCTCCGTGGCCTGGTGTGTTAAGGCAGCCAACACACAATGCCCTAGAGGACACTGAGCCTTCGTAAGTAGAAGCTGATGTTGCATGTTTGGGGTAACCCACAGAGGGAGCTTTGCCCACGTCATCGACTCCATCTACCCAGAGCCCTGTCCCTTTGCCACCGAGGGCTGAGGGTCAAAGGTCACAGCAGGCATGGCCCCGCCCCACCTCCCGTGTCCCTGGCTCTGCAGCACTGCTCTCCCTTCACCTGGAAAGGTGGGCCCTGTTCCATCTTGACCGTTTTCTGTTGCTCTGAGAAGAAACTAAAATGCCTTCGACACTCACTGAGCAGTGTGTTGTCTGGTTCAGCATCAAATATAAATATTCACAACAGAATCCCACATTCTGCCTTTAAGCTGCCTCTTTTTAAAATTTATTTATTTATTATTTGACAGATAGAGTTAGACAGTGAGAGAGGGAGACAGAAAGGTCTTCCTTCTGTTGGTTCACCCCCCAAATGGCCGCTACGGCCCGTGTGCTGCGCTGATCCGAAGCCAGGAGTCAGGTGCTTCCTCCTGGTCTCCCATGCGAGTGCAGGGACCCAAGGACCTGGGCCATCCTCCACTGCCTTCCTGGGCCACAGCAGAGAGCTGGACTGGAAGAGGAGCAGCAGGGACTAGAACCCAGCGCCCATATTGGATGCCGGCGCCGCAGGCAGAGGATTAACCAAGTGAGCCATGGCAACGGCCCCTAAGCTGTCTCTTAAAATACTTTCAGACTTAAGGTGCAACTTCTGTGTTGTTTCCTATAGACATGCATCGTGACAATTTCTCAAACACCCACAGGCCCACTGTGCAGTTGCATCCTCCCCACCCCACAGTCTGTCTCTTACAAATTCTAATACTCTGGGCATTGGTAAACTGATGCCCGGTAGCCCACTGTCTGGGAGGCTTGTTCGGGGTCAGCAAGGACTGAGTCTCCCTCTCAGGTGGCTGCAGTGAGAACTGCGCCTAAGGGTCTCTGTGGGAGGCGGCTGGGAATCGCCCTGAGCCCAACTTGCTGCCCCTCCTCCAGGAGGAAGAGTTCCACATGTATGCACTCTACAGCAAGAACAAGCCCCAGTCGGATGCCCTGCTCAGCAGCCATGGCAATGCCTTCTTCAAGGTCAGGGTCATCCCACTCTCCCCGCAGACCACACGGGCCTCGGACTGGCCCCAGCTGACCTCTGCCTGGCCTTGCAGGACAAGCAGCAGGAGCTGGGCGACAAGATGGACCTGGCCTCCTACCTGCTGAAGCCTGTGCAGCGCATGGGCAAGTACGTGTTGCTGCTCCAGGACCTGGTCAAGGAGGCCAGCCGCTGCCCAGGCCGCGAGCAGGAGCTGGGTGAGCTGCAGGCAGCCGGAGAGGTGGTCCGCTTCCAGCTGCGCCACGGCAACGACCTGCTAGCCATGGACGCTGTCCGTGGCTGCGATGTGAGTGAGCTGTGCTCAGACAGACAGGCAGCACAGGGGGCGCCCTTCCTTGGGGTACCTGAGTGGATCATGCACAGAGGACTTCTGCTCCCCCGGTTGGTGGTACCTGAGACCCCAGCACTGCAGCAGCTGGGGGCTTCACTAAAGTGAACGAGGGCTTTTACAAGAGCGGCCCCACCCTCGTCCCCAAGCAGCATCCAGTCGAGTGTGGGAGGGGGTCTCTCCCTTGCTCTGTGGGCCGCAGAGGGTAAGGTGGGAGGGCTGTGGGAAGGGTGAGCTCCTGAGTTCTGAATGTGGCGCTGCAGTTCCTGTCCTGACGCTCCCACCCCTGTGTCAGCGCTGGCCTCCAGATGTCTACCAGAACCTCTCCTGGGACCATCCAAGGCCCTGAGGCAGCTTGCTTCCTGCAGGTGGACTTGAAGGAGCAGGGGCAGCTCCGATGCCAGGACGAGTTTCTCGTCTGCTGTGGGAGGAGGAAGTACCTGAGGCGCGTGTTTCTCTTTGAAGACCTCATCCTGTTCAGCAAGACCAAAAAGGTGGACAGAGGCCACGACCTCTACCTGTACAAGCAGTCCTTCAAGGTACAGCACCTGCTGCCCCTGGGCATCTCACACCCTTGTCTCACTGGAGACCGGTAGAGAAACTGGCACTCAGCAGAGCTGGCAGGAGCCACACTGTGGCTTTCACTTTCTGTAGCTCTTTGGTGAATGTCTGAACTTTAGGCCTTTCAACACGCCTGGGAGACACCTGTCTTCCATGCGCTGGCTCAGTGCTGGGGTTTTGTATACAGGTGAGCAGGAGAACAAGGTTCCCCTGGGCCTCTGATGTCCACAGACAGGGCTTTATCCAAGTGACAAGGCATGGTGGGTTTCCACAAGTGGTCCTCACCTGTCTCCCAGGGAGGCAGGTCCCCCCTCCTGGCAGGGGCCGTGAGGATCACAGCCTTGCACGCTCACAGCCTCGCACACTCAGCCCTGCACACTTACAAGTATTCACTCTGTACATTAATGGCATTGGGTTCACGGAAGGATCCCACAGCTGTAACCTGGATCAGTGCAGTGAGGGGCTGTGGTCACCCGGGACACAGCAGATACGAGGGCACCACAGGGCCCTCCGGGCCAGCCCTCTTTTCTCCACTGGGGAAACAGGCCCCAGGAGGGAGCTGCTGGGGAGAAGAGGGGACTGAGTCCACGCTGCCCCTGGCAAGTGCATCTGGGCTCTGGTGCCCACGTGCCACACAGTCACGTGGTTTCCAGGGTGGGTGCCCACCTTCTCCGAGACCGTTGGGGCCAGCAAGCCCCATTGTTCGGCAAGGGTCTGGCTCCTGACGCTGCAGCCTGCATGGTGTTTGCTGCCTGCAGACAGCTGAGATCGGCCTGACCGAGAACGTGGGAGACAGCGGCTTGAGGTTTGAGATCTGGTTTCGCAGGCGTCGGAAACCTCAGGATACCTACGTTCTCCAGGCGAGCTCAGTGGAAGTCAAGAGGGCCTGGACTGAGGTGATCGGGAAGATCCTGTGGCGGCAGGCACTGCGGAACAGAGGTGGGGAGGCGGCAGGGCCGTGGGCGGGGGCTGGGCTGGAGGTCCATCCTAGAGGCCTTGGTCAGCTCGGGTCCAACAGGAGTCATACACTTGGCCTCCTCCCCTAAAAATCAGCGTCAGCAAGACCCTTCCTGGCCCACTTGGCCCTGCAGCAGCCCCAGAAAGAGGCCTGAGTCTCCCCGGTCAGCTTTCCTCTCTGGCCTCTTGTCCAGATGCTGTGTTCCGCAGGAGGCCCTTGGTCTCCCGGCAGGTGCAGCCCCTCCTCCATGGGCCACCTTGTCACCTGCCACTGGGGTCCTACACAAGTCTCCTCTGACCTCTGTTTCCACCCCAGTCCCCCTCTTCCTTAATTTCTTCACCATGGTGCCTTGGACTGCCCTGGCAGAGCCAGCCCGCTGCTGGCAGCTCTGACCCGCAGGCCCTTGAATCGCTGGGACCAAGGGTCCAAACTCCTAAGATGACCACCAAGCCCCTCTCTCTGTGGCCTTGGGGCTGTGGCCTCCCACCACATGCACCTGTGGCCTCCCCGTCCTCTCTTTCAACACATGTGGAGCCAGCCTCTGCTGGGAGGAGGAAGGCCAAGCCTGGTGCCCTCCTTGTGGTTTCCACGTCTCTTCTGTGACTGTTCCACGTCCTTGGGCTTCTTGCCCACCCGACAGGCATCAGCTCAGCCCATGCCCTCAGCTCTGCTTTATTCTCCCCTCTCCACATAAACACTCTACCAACCCAAACCCCTGGGAGCAGATTGGTCTCTCCAGGCAGAGTCAGATGAGCTGCACAGGTGTGCAGGCGGAGGGACACACAGGCCTCGGGCTGGGCCTTGCTGACCCTCTTAGGTTCGGCACCCACTTGCTGTTCTCCCAAGACACAAACCACTTTTGGTCAGAACAGTGCTAGTATTCTGCATGTGCATCACGACTCTTGGGTTTTAGCTATGCAAATATGAATCCAGTAGCAGATGTAACTTTATTTTCTACCTTCACACATTTTTTTTTCCTCACAATTATTACCTTTTTAAAGAAGATTTATTTCTTTGTTTTGAAAGGCAGAGTTAGAGAGAGAGAGAGAGAGAGAGAGAGAGGCCTTCCATCACTGGAATGTCTGCAATGGCCAGAGCTGGGCAGATCCGAAGCCAGGAGCCAGGAGCTTCCTCCAAGTCTCCCACATGGGTGCAGGGCCATTGCTTTCCACTGCTTTCCCAGGCAATAGCACAGAGCCTGTACTCGAACTGGCACCCATATGGGATGCTGGTACTTCAGGCAGTGGCTTTACCTGCTACACCACAGTGCTGGCCCCAATTATTACCCTTTTTCCTTTGCTTACTTTTACCATGAATAAACTCATCCTTGTACTCTCACCCTGTGCTTTGTTCTCCTCTCAATATTCAGACACTACCAGGAAGTGATGGTTTTGTCTTTTCCTGTGGACTCATGTCCCCTCAGGATCTGTCCCCCTCTATTTGGCTTCTGGCACAGGGGCCTCCTCCTCACCCAGACCAGGCCCCCTGGCCCCTGACACCCAGGGCATGAAGCCCTGGGCAGGCCCTGCTTCCCACCCCTGACCGGGCTGAGGGGATGACATCACTGTGAGGGTGGCTTTGGAAACTGTCACGCCTCCCTCCACCTAGAACTCAGGATGCGGGAAGTGGCGTCGATGGGCATGGGCAGCAAGCCCTTCCTGGACATCCAGCCCAGTGAAGCAGCCATCAGCGACCGGGCCATCGACCACATCATGAAGGGAACAGGTGAAGGCCTGTGTGTCAGGGTGGGTGGACGAGTGCGGGCGATGGGCCCGCTCTGCAGAAGCCAGACCTCCCAGGTCCCTTCCAGCACCGGTCCCTGTCGCTCCCTTCCAGCGCCGCAAACCCAAGCGTCCATCGCAGTGTCCTCCGTCGACCATGCCACCCGCGTCAAGAGACCCCACTCTACCATCTCAGAGAGCAGCAGCTCCTCCGGCAGCCAGGCTTCCTCCTTCCTGGGGCCACCGAACCTGCGCTGTCCACCAGCCCTGCCCTCGGGCCCTGGCCGTCTGACACCAGAACCTGCATCGAGGAAGACGAGCTAGAGCAGGAGGCAGGCAGCCAGGCCCCCGTGTGTGAGTGCGGTCAGCCCCCTGGGCAGTGCAGCCCCTGACCGTGAGTTTGGGTGGTGGGTGCTGACTGGCGTGGGCCCCAGAAGGGAGCTCAGTGTTCACCTAAGTCAGCACAGTCATCCCCAGGGCGTGGGCCCACAGTCCCCCGGGTGCTAACGTCTTCAGATGCCGAGGCCCCTTCTGTAATAAAGCGGTGCGGTTTGCGCACGACGAGCACCCGTGCTCCCTGCATGTGGCATCGTCTCTGGGTCACTAACGCGATCACTAGCACTAACAATGTAAGTGCTACACAGATGGTCATTAGACTGTGTCATTTAGGGGAAATGGTTAGGCCTTGAGTGCAGTACGGACAGGATTTCTCTTTTCAAATGTTTCTGGTCGGTGATGGGCTGCATCCAGTGCAGAACTGGAGGCCAACTATAAATGGAAAGATTGTCAGACAAATTTGAATTTCCTTTTATTTAAAGACAAACCAGGGCTGGTGTTGCGGCATAGCCAGTAAAGCCACCGCCTGTAACAGTGGCATTCCATGAGGGTTCTGATTCAAGTCCTGCTGCTGCACTACTGATCCAGCTCCCTAATGACCCAGGAAAAACAGCAGAGGATGGCCCAAGTGCTGGGGACTCTGCCACCCACATGGGAGTCCAAGATTAAATTCCAGATTCCTGGCTTTGGCCTGACCCAGCCCCAGCCATTGTGGCCATCTGGGTAGTGAAGCAGAGGATGGAAGATCTGTAACTCTGACTTTAAAATAAATCTTTAAAAAAAAAAAAAAACTTTCACCTTCACCCAAGGCAAGGTAATAGGGAAGAAACACAAACAAGCAAAAAGCAAACCAACAATGGTAAGCGTGAAAGATCTCAGCTCTCAGGACACCCAGTGACAAAAACTGTGTCCCTCAGAGCAGAGAGAAGAGACAGGAGCCGGCCACTACCCAGGCCTCTCCCCAAGGGTTGCAAGTCCAGAGCTGGGAGAGGCAGCCAGCGAGGTCGGCAGCCACTGCAGTGTTGGGGAGACCAAGGCAGCAGGGCCAAGAACCTGCACAGTGTGCCCACCAGGTGCTGACCATCAGGTTCTTCCAAGGAGGCCCCTCTGAGACTAGAGACCAGGTCCTGGTAAACAGTGGGTGTGGCTGCACCTGTCCCCACAGCCTGGTGGAAAACCCACAGTTCACAGGGCATTGGGTAGAGAGCTCAGGAGTGGAGAATGGCCCAGGGCTGGCCCCTGCTCCACTCACCTACACACTGTTCCCCAGTGACGTGGCAGCAGCTCAGAACAAGGCCTGAAGAGCCCAGCAGTGCTGTTGAGACAGCATCTCAGCGAATGTGCCGGCCACAGCGACACGGATGTGCACAGAAGAAACCGCACTGTTTTCCAGATAGGAAACCATAAGCCTAAACAGCAGACACACGGGAGGCCTCCACAGTCAGCTACACAAACCAGTGATGAACAGAGCATCTTAAGAGTACCCCGAGAGAAGTATGCGATGTTGAGAGCGGCAGAGCTGACGACGGCAGCACACAGCTCCACGGCCATGGCTCCAGAAGAGAAGCTGTGGCCTGGCAAAACCTTTCATTCTTGGCTAGCGCCGCGGCTCACCAGGCTAATCCTCCGCCTGCGACGCCAGCACCCCGGGTTCTAGTCCCGGTTGGGGCGCTGGATTCTGTCCCGGTTGCTCCTCTTCCAGTCCAGCTCTCTGCTGTGGCCCAGAAAGGCAGTGGAGGATGGCCCAGGTCCTTGGGCCCTGCACCCGCGTGGGAGACCAGGAGAAGCACCTGGCTCCTGGCTTCAGATTGGCGCGCCGCGCCAGCCATAGCAACCACTTGGGGGGTGAACCAACTGAAAAAGAAAGACTTCTCTCTCTCTCTCTCTCTCTCTCTCTCTCTCTCTCTGTCTAACTCTGCCTGTAAAAAAAAAAAAAAAAAAAAAAAAAAAAAACGCAAACACCGTTTCTGACCAGTGGCCTCGTGCCACAACAAATGTTACATGATGTCCCTGAGGAAACAGGAAGTGAACCAGGCACATAAGAGACTTTCTTCCTCTTATTGAAACCTCTTCAAGTGGTAGCTGGCTGTTTACAAGATAATAGTAATGCGTTTACAATGCATATGCAATTAAAGTGTCTGGTGGCTGGGGGAGACATAGAGGTACCCTGTGAGGTTTGATAGTTTGCGTGAAGTGCGGTGAGACTGTTTGAGATGGACTCTACTGAGTTACAAGCTCTAAAATGACCACAAAATAACAAACCAAGAAGCCAACAATGGAGATGTAATGGAACCATAAAAAACTCAGTCCAGAAATGTTCAGAGAAGAGCTCCCCTGGGCCAGGGTGGTTGGGTGCAGGGACTCCTATGAGGGTAGATGTGTGGGCTCTGGATCATGTGCGTGTAGGCTGCAAAACTACGGCTTTGCCTGTCACTTTTTACAAATTATTCTCCTCCTCTTTGTATGGAAGAGGGAAGAGCATCGACACTTAGAAGTGTATGTCCTGCTTTTAACCAGATAGAAGGAGAACAAGGAACTTGGGCTGGTCAGGAGCCAGGAGCTTCTTCTGGGTCTCACATATGGGTGCAGGGACCCAAGCACCTGGGCCATCTCCCAGGCACGTTAGCAGGGATCTGAATCAGAAGTAGAGCAGTCGGGACACAAAATGGCACCCATAGGAGCTGCTGGCACTGCAGGCACAGCTTTACCCACTACGCCACTGCACTGGCCCCTTGCATGTCATTTATATCCCAACAAAACTGTGTTTGACAAAGTGCAAAGTGCACACGACACCTCCTGAGGAGGAGGCGCTGTATGCCCAGTGGGCGGAGTCACCGCTGGGTGTGGCAGGGAGAGCCCCTGCTCTGAGCTGATGCATGGGAGACTCAGGGTACCACCCAAGGCAGCTGCTGTGGTCCAGCTTTGTATTTAAGCCACATGGCCCGTCTTCTTCCCTTTAAAAGTTTTTATTTATTTGAAAGGCAGAGCAACAGAGAGAGAGAGAGAGAGAGAGAGAGAGAGAGAGAGAGAGAAACATGAGACAAATCTTCAATCCACTGGTTTATTCCCCAAATGACTGCAACAGCCAAGGCTGGGCCAGGCCGAAGCCAGAAGCCTGGAATTCCATCCAATGTAGGATGCAGGTGTCCCAAGCGGTGACAGCCTCCTGCACAATGACACTTGTCCCCGCGTGGCCCTTATTGGCCTCCTCTGTGACTTGCACATCTAAACTGTCACAGAGCCCAGCCTGGTGGCCCAAGGCCCAAGATATCAGGGCCAAGTTAGGTCCTCAGATGCCAGACCTGAGCACCTCCGTCTCTGGCCTTTCGTCTCGCCGGGTCTGACTGGTTTCAGAAAAGGTGGGGCAAGTTCTTCCTAAGCTTCGTGGTGCCGCTGGCTTCTGCAGTGCTGCCGTCCTGTCGGGGCCCAGCCTTGCGGGTTGAACCAACAGGTGCGGTGACTTCTTTATGAACCTCTGTTCATTTCGTGCAACTTTGGGCGCAGGTGAGCTGAGGCTGGGAGGTGGGTGAGGGCCTGGGGCTCACTTGTGTTTTCCCTGAGATGCTACATCCGGTCAGCACCAGAGGATTCTGGCAGGGTGGGTGTTCCTGGACATGAAGGGCACTGAAGGGCTGGCCCCTAACTGGCTTCTCATCTGCAGTGCCCAAGAATTCTGAGTTGACAGGGGACAGTGCCAGTGGCCTTGGCTACACCGTCCACCCCAGGCCATCCTGCCTCCAGCAGTTACTTTGTGATGCCTGACCTCCCCTTCCTGTGAGGAGCTCCCAGCTGCAGCTAGAAGGTGGCCAGGTCACCACGGCTGTGAGTGTCCCTCCTCTGAGACCCCTCTGCGTGCCCCACCAGCCTGGTCTGCATGGGAATCAGCGCCACCCTGCACTCTGGTGGCCCTGAAATCAGAGACTTCTCAGGCAGGTGGAGCCAGGGAATGAGGCCCCATCCTCAGGGCTAGTGCAGGTCTAGCTGCTACCCCCTGGCGATCAGCTCAGGTGTTTCTAAACCAAGCTTCGTGGAGAAGCAGGCGTGGAGTCCGTGGACGAAGGTCTGGGGCTGTCCTTCCTGGAATGCGCACATAGCCCCATGTCCCCAGCCTTCTGATGGGTCCCCTCCCTGGGCAAGTCCCAGTGTTTTCCACCACAGCCCTGTGTGCACCCAGACGTGCCCCCAGAACACAGCGAGGTGACCAGGCAGAGGGTCAGGCAGGAGCCGTGCTCACCAGCAGCACCTTCAGAGAGACTGCCTCTCTGAGGCTGTGGGTTTAGCCTGGCCTGCGTCCACTCAGGGTCCTGCCTGGGCAGTGTGAGAAGAGGTGGGAGGCAGGATTGAGGTCCTGGAGCCGGGAGTCCAAGGATCAGGGCTTTGGGCTGAGTGTCACGAGCCCTGGAGTCCGTGTGCCCAGACCTTCACTGTGCCCTGCGACTCAGTTCTGATGAGCGGTCCCTTCCCTCCTCAGAGCCGACCCCCAAGCCCCAGGCTGGACTGCACCCTCTGTAATGGGTGTTCCTGCTGGCCCTGGGGTAACCAAGGGCCTCGCTTCCCCCAGGCCCGCCCAAAGGCCACCCTGGCTGCCTGGCACGTGCTCCAGATGTTTCCGGAGGGACAGCTCAGCCTAGCACTGAGGGGCTTCCTCCCCCCCCCCCCACCCAGCCCACAGCTCCTCAAAGCTCAAGCACCCAGGTAACTAAGGGCTGACAGCAGGGCTCCTGGTTAGTTGCGTGGGAGAGACTGCCACTCGTCTCCTGGTGCGGTTGTCTTCCCAGATCAGCTCCCGGAGGCCAGAGCACGGCCGAGAGCACCCGCAGGAGCGGCTGACGCCACTCACACTGTCCCCTGCTGCTGGCTGAAGCCCCCCACTGGGTGCCCTGACACAGGAAGTGGCTGTGGGAGGCGGCTTCTAGTTGCCGACCTCCCAGTGCCAGTGTAGCTGTGAGGTGGCATTGGTGAGGGACAAAGCCGAGACCTCGCCTGCCGGCTGGCTCCACCCAGTGAAGAGATTCACTCCTTGGGTGCCCAGAGCCGGGCTCCGCTAATCGTGTTCACAGAGCAGGTGTGTAGGCATTTTCACAGCGGCCAGCTCGAGACAGAGCCCCCAGCGCTGCGGGATCCCTCAGGTGGCGGGGCAGGGGGCACAAAGGACGGACCCATGCAGGGAGACACCGTAGCAGCCCATGGGGACCGAGAGCCTTGTGGAGCTCGGGGGAGAAAACTCTGCTCCAGTCACGGTGGACACGTGCATTTTGTGTTCTGCAGACTCCACACGTGTGAAGTGGTCTTTGCTCTGAGACACAGAGGAGACACACCCAGAGGCACTGGGGTCTGGGCTCAGAGCAGCAAGCACAGAATGGACATGTGTTGTCCTGTTTTAGGGCCCAAACTCCTTTACCCACAAGACAGCAGCTCCAGCGCAGCTGTGCCTTCAGGGAGAATCGGCCTGTAGCCCCGTGCTGGTGCCTGTGATGTGGGCTTGGCTGTGCCGTCGCAGTCATGGGAACAGAGGGGCAGGCGGGAGGCGTCCATGGAAGGTAACAGCCACTGTTCTTTTGACAGCTGTGACCCACCTGGATAAGAAGCTGTTCCTCAGGGGAGAGCACTGGTCAGCAGGAGCAGAAAGACCTCCCCCCAGGCTTGTACACGAATGAGCCCAGCACCGAGCTGGGGGCTCTTCACACCGACAGTCGTCCTGTGAGGCCCTGCCTGCTGGGCCTGGCCTGACCCTCCTCCCCTCTCACTGTGTGGTCCTGGCAGGAGCAGCCTTGAGCTCTGTGCAGTGCCACCCTGTACCACACCCACAGTCGGCTTGTGGTGTCCTAGGGCCAGAGAGAGACGTACTAGGACTACACTTGCCCCTTACACCCACCTTCCAGGCCAGCAAGGGCGAGAGGGCAGGCCTGTCCCCAGGCCTGTCCCCCTGGTCCATCCCCAACACAGGGCCAGCCTCTTGGAATAACTGGATCTCAGGTTTTTTTTTTTTTTTTTAATGTGTTGTGTGTAGTTAGCATGTGTGGTACTTGCCTTAGGCCTGACAGGACTTTAGGGGAGACTGGTCACTTCCTGGACCCCCCACCCCACGTTGGGGGACATGGACTAAAATTCCACCCTGACCCAAGCTCAGGTGCTGTTGGCATCTGTGTTCCCCAGAGAAGCACCACCCCACACACAAGGGAAGGAAGATCTCCTGAGGTCCGGTTGGTGCAGGCTCCCTGCCCACTCCCCAGGCCCAGGGACCTGGTGGCAAGGCCAGGACACCAGTGCTGAGTCCACACAGGTACTGTTGGCTGCCATAAGCTGCCTGCTTTGTGTCAGGACTGATGTGTTCAGAACTTTGAGACACGAACATATCGTGCTTTCTATGTGCACTCTGGATTCTTTCGCCTGGCCCAGAAAGAAGGCCACGTGTCTGATGTCACTTGCAGCTCATGAGGGAAGGTGCTGTGGGTTCCGCCCTGGCCCATGTCCACACCCACCAAGGACAGCCACACCTGAGGAGATATCCGGCCAGGTCCCACCATCTTCTGCACAGACCCTCCCTGAGAACGCCTGGGGCTCCACCCTGCAGCAGAACCCCCTCCCTGTCCTTGGAGAAGCACAGGCCAGAGGACGAGCTGGGGATGGTCAGACGTGGGGCTGGTGGGTCCCCCAAGGCAGCTCCATCTCCTTCCCGCCCTCCACGCCCATCTCTGCCTCTGTCTCTCCTCTTCTTGCCTGTGACCTCCAGGCACACCCTGGGGGCCTGAGCTGAGTGAAGGGTTCAGCAGGGGAGGGTCCGGTCGCTCAGTTGTCACTTCTGCTCGTGCTGGGGCCCCGCGACTACCTGCAGCCTTACCTGCCTATCAGGCCCTCCCCAGATGTTGTACAAGTGGCCTCCCCTCCATGGGACACTGAAGCCTGAAGCCCACTGGGGGACTGAAGACTTGAGGACATGGGGTGCAGTGCTGGCCCCGGGGGGCTTAGCATCTTCTGCCTAAAGTCAGATGCCTCCCCACACCCAGACCCACGTCTGACTTCCAGGCATAAGACACAGGAAGGCTCGAGACCCCAGGGCCACTCAGGAAAGGCCGTGCTGGTCAGCCTGAGTGTGCTACAGCCCCCGACTAGATGGCAGATGGCAGTCGGGGCCTGTGCCGCTGTCGTCCCCTTCCGCCTGCACCGGCACCTCCCGGGCTGGCTTCTGCAGGTCTGTCCTGGGGCGCCTGATCAGCTCTGCAAGGGGCACCCCTAGCTGAAGCCGCTCTGCCTTCACCAGCTGGGGCCACGAGATCCAGCATGCACCGCTCGGGTCACAGCCAAGCAGGCGCCCCAGGACAAAAATAGCAGTCAGATGACTGCAAGGGTGGCTCACGGCTTCGGCCCAAAGCAGCTACAGCTAAAAATAGGCTTGAAGGGCACAGCCTGGGGAGAGTGGCAGGGGGACAGGCGCAATGCAGTCGCTTCGCTTCATTTCTGCTGAAGCCCTGGTGTCCCACCCCCAGCTGGCCCAGCAGGGCTTGGACAGTGTGGCGCACAACCTCTACCCACTGCTGTTCAAAGCCAGCTACCTGCAGGAGCAGGCGGAGGTGGTCTGTGCGGTGCTGGGACACTGGCCGCTGGAGGAGTTCCGGCTGGGTGCACTGCTGGGGCCAAGTGCCGACCACCCTGAGGACCTGCGTGACCGGGCTTGCAGGGCCTGCCTGGAGGCCTGCGTGCGGGGCCTCGCAAGCCACGTGCTGCATGGCGGCCGGCAGCGGCTGCGACTGGCTGACCTCACAGGCGTCCGTGACGTGCAGGTGCAGCGGTGCCCCTGCAGGAGGGCGCTGGGCAGGTGGGGCCGCACCGAGCTGCTGGCTAGGACCTGCTGTGAGCTGCAGGCTGGGCCTCCTGTGGCCGGGCGCCCCATTGAGGTCCTTGCTGACCTCTTTGTCACCGAGGGCAACTTTGAGGCTGTGGTGCAGGCCCTGCAGCCAGCAGGTCCGGCCCCTCTACGGGTGCGCTGTCCCTCATTTCGGGCTGACAGCCTCAGCCCTGGCCAGCTCCTGCATGTGCTGCGCCTGGCCGGGCCGGGCACTTTGCGAAAGCTCGAGGTGGTGCACAATGTGCGGCTGCATGCCGGCCACGTGCAGCAGCTGCTGGTCCAGGTGGGCTTCCCCCAGCTGGCCTCACTCACCCTGCCCACCAAGGCCTTTGACATGCCCCCAACCTGTGCCCCGAGCCCTGGCAGTGAGGACTCCCTCCTCACCTCCATCGCCGGGGAACTTGGCCGGATGGCCTACCTCACCGAGCTGAGTGTGGCCTTCTCCACGCTGACCGGGAAGATCCCAACGCTGCTTGGGTAAGTCCAGGGGGCCACCCGGGGCAGGGGACCTGGAGGGGCAGTGATGGAGCCCATTTCACTCTCCTGACAGAAGCAACTGCATCATGGTGTGTGGTTACCACCTCAAGCCCTGGTGGCTTCACACACATTCTCCCCAGGTCAGGGCCCCTGTGCAGCTCAGCTCAAAGTTGCTATCCACGGTTGTTGGGAGCTGCGGGCTCATGGAAAGGCCCAAAGGGGTGAGGTCCTTCTTTGGAGTCTCTCATGAGAAGCCTGGACTCTGGGCACTGGGAGTCCTGCAGCAGAGGGTGTCTGCCTCTCACCAGCTCTGCCTTGAAGAGAGGCAGAGGCAGCAGCCAGGGAGGGGTGGGTCCAGGTGGCCTTGAATGGAGGCACTGGCCACACCTAGGCCCTCGGGCAGGTGAGGGTAAGCAGGACGTGCACGGGGCCCACTGTGGGAGAGGGGGCTGGAGGGGACAGTGGGCAGGAGCCTGGTGACATTTTCTGGCTCAGAGAGGACAGACAGCAAGATGACGTCCCGGAGATGGAGCTGTGTCCCCTGAGAGGCGAGCACCGAGACTGCCTTCTCTCACTGCCTGTCTGCCCAACGGCGACTAATCAGACCGCAGATGCAGAGCCCCAGGCAGGGGCAAAGTAGGCTTCACTTCCCAGCTGCAGAGCCAGGCTCCATCTTTGTTGAGGGGAGTGATGTGCTGTTTCCTGCTAGTTCACGGTCTGCCGGAGCCGTGTGCGTGATTTCCCTACGCACAACACGAATCGGGTTGCTGATAAAACAAATTTGCCATCTTCGGTGCTCGGGACGCAAAGCTCTCCTGGGTAAGGTTGGTTCTTCACACAGTGAGCACGCTCATCTCCATGTGGCGGCACCAACGTGGCCACAGACCACACACGAGTGTGAGTGTGGCTGTGGCCTGTGTACCCGCAAACCCATTTAGGGACACTGATGTCTGAATTGCACATAGCTTTCAGGTGTCACGAACCATTTGCTCCTCTTCTGGCTTTTCACCACTCGGAAATACCAAAGCCCCCCGTGGTGCGCCGGCTGCTTGAACTCAGCCATCAGATGGGTTTGGCCACACGCTGGTTTGTGACCCGACCCCCAGACCCTCTCCTCACCCGTGCTGTTCTCCCGCAGCCCCCTGAGGACCCCGCTACGCACACTGGACCTGGCCAACTGCGCCCTGAACCACGCGGACATGGCCTACCTGGCAGACTGTGTCCATGCCGGCCACCTGGAGGTGCTGGACCTCAGTGGACACAACCTGGTCCACCTGTTTCCCTCGACTTTCTTCAGGCTGCTGGGCCAGGCCGCCCAGACGCTGAGGGTGCTGACCCTGGAGGACTGCAGCATCGCCGATAACCACGTGGGCATGATGATCCTGGGCCTGAGCCCCTGCCGCCGGCTGCAGGAGTTCAGGTTCCTGGGGAACCCGCTGTCGGCCCGCGCCCTCAGGCGCCTTTTCACTGCCCTCTGCGAGCTCCCCAGGCTGCGGCGCATCGAGTTCCCAGTGCCGAGAGACTGCTACCCTGAGGACGCTGCCTATCCCCAGGACGAGCTGGGCCTGGCCAGGTTTGACCAGCAGAAGTATGACCTGATCGCCGAGGAGCTGCGAGTGGTGCTGCTGCAAGCCCACAGGGAGGATATCCAGGCCTCCACGCCCCTCTACGGGAGTTTTGACCCAGACATCGAAGAAACAAGCAATGAGCTTGGTGCTTTCTTGCTGCAAGCGTTCAAAACTGCTCTAGAAAACTTCTCCAGAACACTGAGACAAACGGAGTAGATCCTCGAGTGGCTCCAGTGGCGGGCCTCACATTTCAGCCTGCAGGCCCTGGGAGTCCACCCTGGACTGGGCTTGGGCTGAGCATTCGTCACCTGCATCGCCACCACCCAAAGTGAGTCGTAGCGGAACCGTAGCACGCCTGTCGGGCCCCGGGGACAGGGAGCTCTGCCTTCTAGGAGATGCAGCTCCAGGAGCCCCGAGCACCAGCACAGCAGGACGAGAGCTGGGCTGAGGCCAAGAGGGTCAGTGAAGGCCTGGGACAGTGGAAGCGCGTCTGCCGCAGTCTCACCAATGGAGGAGGGTCAGAGAACACGTCAGAGGGAAGTGTATAGTAAGCAGGAGCCCTAACTGTCACCGAAAAAGGAGAGACGTGAACCAGGCCCATGCCCAGCAGGAAGGCGTCCTGCTCCTCACCCTGGGGCGCAGCGCTGATGCCCACGCGGAACCGTGGCTCCTGCTCTGCGTGGCTTGTCCTCACGGTGCCTCAGTGAGCGAGGCCGAAGGCCGACTGGACCGAGGACATCTGAGCCACCTGTGCCTCGCCTCTGCTGGGCAGCCGAGGGGCAGCTCTGGTGCTCACGTGACGCCTGCCACCTGGGTCCCACCAACCAAGGAAGATGCATTTGCCCTTGGCTTCCTCCCAGAGCTGCTCCGTGCAGAGCTGAATGACTTCGTGCCAAGAAGACAGAGTGCAGTTTACTCAGCTGCAGTGTTTATTTCAACGCAATTCAGAACTTCAAAAAGGACTGTAGAGCCTGAAAATAAAAAGTTCTCTCCAGGCAGAGGCTGGTGTTTGGTTTGGTTCAACCTGAGACCCAGAACTGCGGGCACTGGCCAGGGTCTGAGTCACGTGCCCTGGCCCGGGTTTGTCCGCCCCAGGCGCTCTGGTGCTGCCCTCCCCTGCAGCCATGCTGGCAGTCTCCCTGGACTCACCCCTCGGGCACGTGCACTTTGACCCTGCGCGGGTCATGAAGTGTGGTTCAGTGGCATGGGGGAAGGCATTCAACACAGTCAGTCCAGCCTCAAAGGCAGCCGCCCCAGGGCACCTGGTGCTACAACACCCACCCCCTCCCCCCACACACACCGAGACCTGCTGCCAGGAGGCTGCGCCCACTCCCTGCAGACTGGCCCCTCGCTAGTTTCAAGGCGCTGTCCCGCAGGGATGGCTCCGCCTCGGTGAGCCTGGGATTGCTGCAATGCCTGCACGTGGCTCCTCCTGCCAGAACTCTTTCCTCAGTTCTTCCCCCTCTCCATCCCTACCAGGTCCTGCCTGCACCCAGGCCAAGCCCTGTACCTCCTCCTAGAGCAGGATGTTGGCACGGAGGCTAGGCCTCTGGGTCAGACCAGGAGGGGCGGTGGGCACAGGCAGGCAAGGGGGAGCTGCGTTCCCGACAGGCAGGGGCTGGCTGTGCTGGCATAAAGGGTTCTCATGAACGTGGCGTCCCAGTGCTCAGGCTGGTCCAGCAAACATCCCTCCCAGGGCTCAGGCCGCCTGGGTGCTGCTGCGCGCACTGCACACTGGGGCTCCTTTGCAGTCCTTCCTCCTGGCAGCAGGCCTGGGCCCGTCGGAGGGTCCGTGCAGAGGACAGCGCCCTTCCCAGTGCCATGGGGCCCGGCCCCTCCAGCACTGCAGCCTTTGATCTTTTCAAGATTTCCTGTGAGGATCAGAAAAGCCACACACTCCCGACCCTTGATTTTCACTGTGCGTGCTGCACTCAGACCTCACAACATTGCACAGCCCAGGGTCTCCACCCTGTGCGGCACAGCAGGGCAGGCAAGTGGAGCTGGACCACCCCCCAGCACAGGCCCAAACAGGCACGCAGAGAGGGAGATGGACAGCTGTTTCTCATTTCTTTTTGAAAAAAAAATTTTGGTTTTCATCATATCTGAGAGAGAGATCCATTCACTAATTCAGCCCTCAAATGCTTCTAACAGCCAGGCTGGGCCAGACCAACATCAGGAGTCTGCATCTGGGCCTCCCATGTGGGTGGCAGGTGCCCAAGTACTTGGGTCCTCACCTACTGCCTCCGAGGATGTGCACCAGCTGGATAGGAAGTGGAGGAGCTGGGACTTGAACAAGACACCTGACATGGGATGCGGGTGAACCCGCTGCACCAAGCGTCTACCTGTTGACAACTTCAGGGTCCTCTCTGGGGTTTGACCTGCATGCTCTGTTCTTGTTCTGAGGTCCCATGAGGTAGCCTCAGAGTCCCCCTTCTAAGCAACCTTGATCTCAGCTGCCTACGGCCAGAGTCCTAATTAATAGAGAAAAATGGTGACGAGGTTGTCAAAGCTTAACAGAGAGGAACACTGCTGGCATCAGCCACAGGTGCAATGCAGCTACGCAGGAAGTTGAGCTTCCAAGTAGCCACTGAGGCAGAGAAGCATCAGCCTGTCCGGCAGGAGCAGAGCTAGCAGCTGCTGGCCCAGGCCCAGTTCAGGCCCTCCTTACAGTCCCCTGAGCCAGCTCCCTCACCAACACTGGTTCTGAGGATTTCAATCAGAGATAAACATGAGTTACCCGAGACCCGGCGTCTAACACTCAAGTCGGCGCTGTGGTGACTGTCACCCTGCAAGTGTTCTGTAGGCGTTCTCGGGGAGCACCTCACTCCCTACAGATGGAGACACTCCCTACAGATGCCCACGGGAGCGCTCCCTTCCCTGCTCGGCCCCTTGGCGTCAGGTCTGGTTCCGGAGCCACACCTGGGCAGGTTAACTCTTCAGTCCCTTGGTTCCAGCTGATCTGAGTAGACAAAGGCCTGCTTGTTACGGGCTGGCCATGGCTGGCATGCGGCAGCTTGGATCTCACCATTAATGGGGGGCTCCCTGCATCTTGACTGTTTGGGCAAACTGTGGACCGCACCAACGCCCTACTTTCCTCCTGGAGTCTGGACTTGTGTGTGTGCCAGGTGGAGGGTGCCACGCACCCCACCCTCAGTAAAAACCCTGGACACGGAGTCTCTGACAAGTGTCCCTCGTAGACCTTTCACTCGTGTTGTCACAACTTGGTATGGGAGGAGATGTGTCCTAGGGACTCCCCTGGGAGGGACCCCCTGCCTTCCACTGTAATAAACCTTAGTCACGAGTACAATTATATGCTGAATCCTACGAGATCGCCCAGCAGGTCAGGAAGCGTGGGAACGGTCTGGGGGACTCCCACCCCGGACAGTAGCAGTACTTGCACACAGGACTAGAGTTACATGAAGGTGGACACACACACACAACCAGTTCATGACAGTTACGTGTACATGAACAATAAGGGGCCACCTAATTTCTAGGTTGCAACAGAAATTGAGATAATATATGTAAAGATACTCTGTAAACAAGTAAAAACTGGCCCTATTACTGTTCAGTTTCTGATTATACATCACAGCTAATCAATGATGCCTGCACTGAACCTGACACAGGCCGACTTCCACACGCACACCAGGCTGCCAACAGGGCACAACGAACACTGATGGTCTCCTTCCCTTTAGGAGGTAAGATCTTCAAAACTGTGGAGGACTGATGACTGACGTCACTACTTTCTGTCAGCAGCTTTTAGTTCCACACATCACCTGGCACCTTCTAAATGTAATTTGGGAAGACAGAAAAATAATTCAAGGAAAAACACAATTTATTTAGGGAGTAATCAAAACAGACAGAACATTACTTAGGCTAAGGACACTGTACTTTACCAGATAGGAGCTTAATAACATGCTGGGCGCCCCAGAAGGCTGTGAGAAGCCGCAAGGAGGGACCCCGTGCTCCCCAGGCACCCAGGGCGCAGCGCACTTCACTCCTGTCTTACTTCTCTAGTATGACTTTCTCTACCCTCCTGAACTTTTTCAGTTCGGCGACGAGCTCCCAATACTTGAGATACAGCCACATGAGCCTCCCGTTTTGGCGCTTGTTGGTATTCCAGACGTCGCCACAATACGTATCATGCTTAAAGATGTCGGTTAAACCCGCCACCATCTCCAGGTCAGCAGCCACTGGGTCCACCGAGGCTCGCACCAGCAGGCTCTTCTCGATGTGCAGGCGCCTGCGGCGAGGGAGCAGCAGGCTGCAGTAGATGCTCTGCCGCTCCGTGAGCGCCTCCTCAAACTCCTTCAGCAGCAGCCGGGCCCTCTGCTGCCAGTCGTCTTCCCTCTCCAGGCAGCGCAGGTACGCGCCTCTCAGAGGCTGCACCTGTCTCTCGTGCATGAGCTGAGCCCGTTCCTGTTCCAGGAGCTTCTTTTCCTCCACCAGCTTGCGGCCCTGCGAGATCAGAGCTTCTCGGTAACTAGCCGTCCTGTTCTGCTCCTTCTCTAGTTCCAAGGACAGCCGGGCGACGGCACGCCGGCTTTCTGAGATCGTGGTGTGATACTTGGCTTCCAGATCCCGTTGGAAAGCAGCTGTTCTCTCACGATATGCTTCTCTCTCTTTTTCTATTTCTTTCCGGGACTCCCTAGACCAAATCCAACCTGATGTGAATAGATTGGGGGAGAAAAATACACACAGTCAAGTCAGAGCTGGTGCTCTGAGGGCCTCGCTTCGGTAGAAGCTCAACACCTCAGAGGTACCAAGAAGGTAACATTCTGTATGTGACCATATAACAAAGTTCCCTTTTAAGAAGTTCATTTATTTATTTATTTGAAAGGCAGAGCAACAGACACAAAGAAAGAGGGCCAGAGAAAAACCTCCCACCTGCCAGTTCACTTCCACACACCTGCAAAGCTGGGGCTGGGCCAGGATGGAACCACGAGCCAGGCACTCGGTCTGGGTCTCCCACGTGAGTGGCAGGGACTCCAGGACTTGAGCCATCACCTGCTGCCTCCCAAGTGCACATCAGCAGAAAGCAGGATTGACGCGGGGACAGGATTCGATCCCAGGCCCCGATCCACAGTGCGGGATTGGAAGCGGGGACAGGATTCGATCCCAGGCCCCGATCCACAGTGCGGGATTGATGCGGGGACAGGATTCGATCCCAGGCCCCGATCCACAGCGCAGGACTGGAAGCGGGGACAGGATTCGATCCCAGGCCCTGACTGAGGGTGTGGGAGTTCTAAGTGGTGGCTTCACCTGCTGTGCCATGCATCCCCCTGGCATTCTTATCTTAAAATCAGAAAGGGACAAGCATGGCAGAGAGTCCCCCGTCAGTCCTGCAGTCTGCTATGGCTATGAATATCCACCACTCTCTCTCTGGCTCTCAAATCGGTCACCACTTGCCTGCTCTGGCCCCAGTGCCCCTGTGTACTATAGCAAGGCTTAAAAACTAATGAGTGGGCTTCCAATACTGTTGGCCTGATTCTCACGGAAGAGGTATGGCTTATGACTGGCAGCCCAGTCACTGCTGGCTCAACTCCAAGATGTTTGCTTACATCACGCTGGGCACAGGAAGATGAGGCAGATACAAAACTCAACCCCGAGTCACGGCTTGGTCCTCTTCCCCAAACTGGAGACCACTGGGGTCTCACCACATGGCACTAGGGAGAGTGGGGAGGCTCACACAGGTGCTGCCCTGCTCTGCTCCACACGAGGGGCGTTACTCAGTCCTGACGGCCCACAGACCTGGTGTGGTAGGAGTCGCCCACTCTGCCTGCGACACCAGCATCCCATTTGGATGCCAGTTCGAGTACCGGCTGCTCCACTTCTGATCTAGCTCCTTGCTAATAGCCTGGGAAAGCAGTGGAAGATGGCCCAAGTGCTTGAGCCCCTGCACCCACATGGGATACTCAGAAGAAGCTCTGGGCTCCTGGCTTCAGCCTGGTACAGCCCTGGACATTGCGGCCAACTGGAGAGTGAATCAGCAGATGGAAGATGTCTCTTTCTATGTCTCTAACTCTGCCTTTCAAACAAATAAAAAAAAAATCTTAAAAAAAATGGCAATAAGAAGAAACAAGCCAGCGCCGCGGCTCACTAGGCTAATCCTCCACCTAGCGGCGCCAGCACACCAGGTTCTAGTCCCGGTTGGGGCGCTGGATTCTGTCCCGGTTGCCCCTCTTCCAGGCCAGGGAGTGCAGTGGAGGATGGCCCAAGTGCTTGGGCCCTGCACACCATGGGAGACCAGGAGAAGCACCTGGCTCCTGCCATCAGATCAGCACGGTGCGCCGGCCGTGGCGCACCAGCCGTGGCGGCCATTGGAGGGTGAACCAACGGCAAAGGAAGACCTTTCTCTCTCTCTCTCTCTCACTGTCCACTCTGCCTGTCAAAAAAAAAAAAAAAAAAAAAAAAAAAAAGAAGAAGAAGAAACGAAAGGCAAACACATGGGAAAGAGGAAATAAAACCAAAATCTCGTACCTCTTATGAAAATTAACTCATAAAGGATCACGGACTTAAATGTAAAGCACAAAACTAAACCTTTAGGAAGAAAAGAGGAGAGAATCCTCAGGAATCTAGGGCTAGGAAAAGAGTTCTTAGATTTGGCACAAAAAAAAAAAAAACTATGGTGCATGAAAGGAAAAAACAATAACCTGTCCATCAAAACTAAACTCTGCTCTGCTGGAGATCTGTGGGAGAAGGCAAGCAAAGCCACAGGCAGGGTGGATGTATTTGCAAACCACATTTCTAACTGAAGACTAGAATCCAGAGCATGTGAAGAGACCTCAAAACTCATCGTTCAAAGCAGTCAGGAGGCTGAAAGACACAAACACAGCTGTCCAACAGAGGCTGTGCCCTCTGCAGTGAGCATGGCCACTAGGGGGTGCACACTGGCCCACAACATCCCGGGAAGGACGGAGCTGGCGTCGTGGGGCAGTGATCAGGCTGCAGCAGCAAACTGGAATTCCAGAGAAGCACTGGCTCAAGTCCTGGCTGCTCCCCTTCCAGTCCAGCTCCCTGCTAACGCTCCTGGGAAAGCAGCAGATGGTGGCCCAAGTACTTGGGCCCCTGTACCCGCATGGGAGACCTAGATGCAGTCCCAGACTCCTAGCTTTGGCCTGGCCTAGTCCCAACCGTTGTGGTCACTTGGGGAGTGAACCAGTAGATGGAAGACCTCTCTCTCTCTGTAACTCTGTGAAATAAATAAATCTTAATTTTTTAAAAAATTTGTTTATTTGAAAGACAGAGTTACAGACAGAGAGAGAGATCTTCCATCTGCTGGTTCACTCCCCAAATGGCCACAACGGCTGGAGCTGTGGCGTGGTGGGTTATGGTGCTGTTGACAGCGCCAGCATCCCATATGGGCACTGGTTTGAGCCCTGGCTGCTCCACTTCTTATCCAGCTCCCTGTTAATGTGCCTGGGAAAACCGCAAAGGACAGCCCAAGTGCTTGAGCCTGTGCCCATGTAGGAGACCTGGAAGAAGCTCCTGGCTCTTGGTTTTGGTCTGGTCCAGCCCCAGCCATTGCAGCCATCTGTGGAGTGAACCAGCGGATGGAAGACACCTCTCTCTCTCTCTCTCTCTCTGTCTCCCTAACTCTGCCTTTCAAATAGATAAAAAGTAAATCTTAAAAAAATAAAAGCTGCCGGCGCCGCGGCTCACTAGGCTAATCCTCTGCCTTGCGGCGCCGGCACACCAGGTTCTAGTCCCGGTCGGGGCGCCGGATTCTGTCCCGGCTGCCCCTCTTCCAGACCAGCTCTCTGCTGTGGCCAGGGAGTGCAGTGGAGGATGGCCCAAGTCCTTGGGCCCTGCACCCCATGGGAGACCAGGAGAAGCACCTGGCTCCTGCCATCGGATCAGCGCGGTGCGCTGGCCGCGGCGGCCATTGGAGGGTGAACCAACGGCAAAGGATGACCTTTCTCTCTGTCTCTCTCTCTCACTGTCCACTCTGCCTGTCAAAAAAATAAAATAAAATAAAATAAAATAAAATAAAATAAAATAAAATAAATAAAAGCTAAACATGTACCTGCAATAAACTCAGCAAATGCATGTCTGGCCATCTACCCCAGAGAAATGAAAACTTATGTCCCACAAATACTTGTACAGGAAGATTTATGACAGCTTTATTCATAAAAGCCAAAAACCGGGAACAATGCCGCCACCCTCACGGGTGAGTGGCTGAACAAATGGTGGTCCATCCACAGTGTGGACTGCTACTCAGCAATGAGAAGGACCCATGGACTATCGACACAATAACCTGTATGGGTCTTGGGATTTCCACGACTGGAAAAAGCTAACCCCAAAAGGGTACATGGTATGCGATTCCATTTATGTAACATTCTTGAAAGACAAAATCAAAAAAGTGGAGAAGAGTGGCTAGCCCAGATCCGGGCCACCTGAGGAAGACGTGTCCCCTGGCTGCACTGACACTGTGCTGTATGGTTCTGCAGTGTCACCACTGCAGAGATGGGCTCTCTGTGCCATTTACTACAACACTTGTGACCCAGAGACTTCAAACTGCTTAAGTCAAAGACATTACGTTGAATGTAATGAACTCCACCAGTTCCTTCCTGCTCTAAGACTATGTTTTTAGATCAGGAGAGAAAACATGGGAGAGATGGGAGGAGACACAGGAAGATGAGATGAAAGGAGACGCCTGACTGCCCCCCAAGGGAGTGGCTTGGGGTAAGCATGTCCCCAGGACTGCACTCCTACCAGCACAGCTATTCCAGAAGACAGAAGATGCAGGGACAGGCATAAGGGTAAGGCACAGGGTAAGCTGCTGCCTGGGAAGCCTGCATCCCATACCAGAGTGGCAGTCAGGTCCTCACTCCTCTGCTTCTGGTCCAGCTTCTTGCTAATGCACCTGGGAAGGCAGATGATGTCCCAAGTACTTGGGTCCCTGCTCACTGTGTGGGAGACCAGGATGGCCCAGTTGTTGTGGGCATGTGGGGAGTGGACCAGCAGATCAAAGATCTCTCTCTGTCAACCTTCCTTTCAAATATATAAAAATCTTTTTTTTTTTTTAAGTTAGAAAATCTAGCAATTTAAATGATCAGAATAAAACTAGTCTCTCATTAGTAAGTCAATCAATAGTGTGTACAAGGTACAGTGTTCACGTATCTGCCTTTACTTCCACACTATACTAGGGGACTAGTTAATACTCAGATGCTGTGTTGCCAACAGGTTAAGCTGCAACTCGGGGAGCCGGTATTCCCTACTGGATACTCTGCAATTCCAGTCCAGCTTCCTGTTAATCTACAGATGTTGGCCCAAGTACTTGGGTTCTTGCCACCCACATAAGAGACCCAGATGGAATTCCTGGTTTTGGCCTGACACAGAACTGGCTGTTGCAGGTGTTTTGGAAGCAAATAGAAGATCTCTCTTGGTCTCTCTCCCTCTATCACTCTGCCTTTCAAATAAACAAACATTAAAAAAAAAAATCCTCAAACATTGCAATATAATTTTAAAGTTCCACATTACATTTTTGGAGAATTATAATAATGCAAAGTTAATAGTCAAGAAAAAAAATATTCCTCCCTCAACCCTCCTCAGGAACCGAAAGCATCATTTCATAAGCCCAAAAAAGGAAGGCAAGAATTTCGCCATTAAAAGTTATTACCAGAGCCTATAAAAGTCAGAGGTCCATCTGTACAACAAATGGAGAATCAGTCATGTCAGGATTTCTCTCAGCCTCCAAGCCAATGAATTATTACATTATAAATGCAATTTAAGCCTTCTAATCCACCCACTGAGGTGAGTTTGCCACCCCAGACACAGGCAACAGTGGCCTCTCCCAGGATAAGCAGAGCAAGACTGAAGGTTCATGAGCTTTTAGCTGGTAGTGCTCTACGGCGGGAGCAGGCACGGGAGCAGATCACCAGTTTATAAACAAGCACTCTGCCCACGGGAGCAGATCCCTGGGTTACAAACAAGCACTCTGCCCACGGGAGCAGATCCCTGGGTTATAAACGAGTACTCTGCCCACGGGAGCAGATCCCTGGGTTATAAACGAGTACTCTGCCCACGGGAGCAGATCCCTGGGTTATAAACGAGTACTCTGCCCACGGGAGCAGATCCCTGGGTTATAAACGAGTACTCTGCCCACGGGAGCAGATCCCTGGGTTATAAATGAGTACTCTGCCCATGGGAGCAGATCCCTGGGTTATAAACAAGCACTCTGCCCACGGGAGCAGATCCCTGGGTTATAAACAAGTACTCTGCCCATGGGAGCAGATCCCTGGGTTATAAACGAGTACTCTGCCCATGGGAGCAGATCCCTGGGTTATAAACAAGCACTCTGCCCACGGGAGCAGATCCCTGGGTTATAAACAAGTACTCTGCCCACGGGAGCAGATCACCAGGTTACACACAAGCACTCTGCCCACGGGAGCAGATCACCAGGTTACACACAAGCACTCTGCCCACGGGAGCAGATCACCAGGTTACACACAAGCACTCTGCCCACGGGAGCAGATCACCGGGTTATAAACGAGTACTCTGCCCACGGGAGCAGATCACCAGTTTATAAACAAGCACTCTGCCCACGGGAGCAGATCCCTGGGTTATAAACGAGTACTCTGCCCACGGGAGCAGATCACCAGTTTATAAACAAGTACTCTGCCCACAGGAGCAGATCACTGGGTTACAAACAAGTACTCTGCCCACGGGAGCAGATCACCGGGTTACAAACAAGTACTCTGCCCACAGGAGCAGATCACCAGGTTACACACAAGCACTCTGCCCACGGGAGCAGATCACCGGGTTACAAACGAGTACTCTGCCCACGGGAGCAGATCCCTGGGTTATAAACAAGCACTCTGCCCACGGGAGCAGATCCCTGGGTTATAAACAAGCACTCTGCCCACAGGAGCAGATCACCAGTTTATAAACAAGTACTCTGCCCACAGGAGCAGATCACCGGGTTACAAACAAGTACTCTGCCCACGAGAGCAGATCACCAGGTTACACACAAGCACTCTGCCCACGGGAGCAGATCACCGGGTTACAAACGAGTACTCGGCCCACGGGAGCAGATCACCAGTTTATAAACAAGCACTCTGCCCACGGGAGCAGATCACCAGTTTATAAACAAGTACTCTGCCCACAGGAGCAGATCACTGGGTTATAAACAAGCACTCTGCCCACGGGAGCAGATCCCTGGGTTATAAACGAGTACTCTGCCCACAGGAGCAGATCACCAGTTTATAAACAAGTACTCTGCCCACAGGAGCAGATCACCGGGTTACAAACAAGTACTCTGCCCACGAGAGCAGATCACCAGGTTACACACAAGCACTCTGCCCACGGGAGCAGATCACCGGGTTACAAACGAGTACTCGGCCCACGGGAGCAGATCACCAGTTTATAAACAAGCACTCTGCCCACGAGAGCAGATCACCAGTTTATAAACAAGTACTCTGCCCACGGGAGCAGATCACCAGTTTATAAACAAGCACTCTGCCCACAGGAGCAGATCACTGGGTTATAAACAAGTACTCTGCCCACGGGAGCAGATCACTGGGTTATAAACAAGCACTCTGCCCACAGGAGCAGATCACTGGGTTATAAACAAGTACTCTGCCCACGGGAGCAGATCACCGGGTTACAAACAAGTACTCTGCCCACGGGAGTAGATCACTGGGTTACACACAAGCACTCTGCCCACGGGAGCAGATCACCGGGTTACAAACGAGTACTCGGCCCACGGGAGATCACCAGTTTATAAACAAGTACTCTGCCCACAGGAGCAGATCACCAGGTTACACACAAGCACTCTGCCCACGGGAGCAGATCACCAGGTTACAAACGAGTACTCGGCCCACAGGAGCAGATCACCAGTTTATAAACAAGCACTCTGCCCACAGGAGCAGATCACCGGGTTACAAACGAGTACTTTGCCCACGGGAGCAGATCACTGGGTTATAAACAAGCACTCTGCCCACAGGAGCAGATCACTGGGTTATAAACAAGTACTCTGCCCACGGGAGCAGATCACCGGGTTACAAACAAGTACTCTGCCCACGGGAGCAGATCACCGGGTTACAAACGAGTACTCTTGCCGGCCTGACTTCCTAAGAAATCCAAGCAGGTAAAAACTCACCAAATAAAATGCATCACTGTAGGGCCAACGTTTGGCGCAGCAGTTAACCCAGGCTGCGACACCTGCGGTACATACTGCAGTGCCTGGCTTTGGGCCCAACCCCACTCTCCACCCGTTTCCTGCTAAGTACACCCTGGGAGCCAGCACACGATGCTTAGTTGTCTGGATCCCTGCACCCGCGTGGGAGACCCAGGTTGAGTTCTGGGCTCCTAGCTTTGGCCTGGACCAGCCCTGGATGTTTTGCTGTGGGCATCTGGTGAATAAACTAGTGGATGGGAGACCTCTCTCTCTCCTCTCTTTCAATAAAATGAAAAAAAAGTTTTTAAAGGATCACTACAAAGAGAGGGCAGTTTTCACTTCTCTTTCACTTGACCAGTTTCTCATCTCTCTCAGTGTCAACCAGAAGAAATATAAAACCAACACTGCTGAATCGGTCCTCTGATAGGCTTGGAAGCCAAGGGCTGGAACCTTGTAAGTCTGCAAGTGACCAGTGCCGAGTCAAGTCAGACCAGTGGGAACTCTGGCCAGGCCGAGACCTTCCAAACGCTGACCGCACCCCCCTCAACGGGCTTTCCTTAGGCCTGTTTTCCTCAGGAGTCCCCACGAGGGCGACAGAAGCAGGGCGCCCTCCAGAGCAGAGATGCCTGCAGAGGGGTGTGTGTTACTAGAACCCACTCCTCAGAAAATCCTGCTAACACTGTTGTAGTGTTTACTTATTTGCTCCTCACCGTGTGTTGAGGCAAGTATGACAAGTAAACCAGGAGTCAGAAAGGTGAATTAATTTCCCGAAAATTCACTGTAAGGGCTCAAACTAGAGCACCCGTCAGGTCCCAAAGCCTCTGTCTTTGGGTTCCCACACAGTGCTCCTCCACACGTGCAGCCTGAAAAACAAAAATATTAGGAAAACCTTGGGGCCGGCACTGTGGCACAGTGGATTAACGCCCTGGCCTGAAGCGCCGGCATCCCATATGGGTGCCGGTTTGAGACCCGGCTGCTCCACTTCCTGTCCAGCTCTCTGCTATGGCCTGGGAAGGCAGTGAAGGATGGCCCAAGTCCTTGGGCCCCTGCACCTGCGTGGGAGACCGGGAAGAAGCTCCTGGCTCCTGGCTTCGGATTGGCGCAGCTCCAGCCGTTGCGACCATCTGGGGAGTGAACCATTGGATGGAAGACCTCTCTCTCTGCCTTTGCCTCTCCTCTCTCTGTGTAACTCTGCCTTTCAAATAAATAAATAAATCTTTAAAAAATAAAAAAATAAAAAAAAATATTAGGAAAACCGTGACTTACGAAAGGCTGCCAATCCCAGCATTGGAACCAACAGGGCGTAATTCCACCTGCTTCCGTCACCCCCATCAGCCCTGGAATTAGGGCGGATATTCCAATTTGGGGGGTCATTTAAGTTATTCATGGATAAACCTTGAAGTAAAAGAAAAGTCCATTAACTACATAACAGGAATACTCATACATCTGTCACAATAATGTCACCTACACAGATCATATGAATTATTTTTTATTCAAGAAAATCTTCAGTCTCACCTGCATGCAGCACAGCGGTGAGCACACTGGCGCCTACGAAAGGAGAAACAAGAGCTTAGTGAGACAAGTCACAGTCTAGCAGGGGACGGGGGACAGCTGCGACTAAGGAACTGGAGCAGGCAGAGCGGGACATACTCTCCAGTGTCCACGCTTACATTTGCGCCCGTAAATGACCTTACTATGCTAAAAAAGGCTTCAAGAGTCAGGACCCGACTCTCCCTACTTTGAACAGGTGCTCACACAATGGGCAGCGAACCTGCAAACTCATTTTGACTGGGTTACACTGCTCAGAGCATGTTTGTCGAGACCACAGTTCTTACAATGGAAAGCCTCCTATGGGGAAGAGGCTGCAACTGGCAAGGAATAATGCTGCCCATGGAATAGCAGTACCCTTTGATATGCTTACAAGCCGTGGCACCTACATCTATCCTCATGAACAGGCCTGCATTGGAGTAATTGCCTATTTTGAACAGGTCAGAGATTTGGCACTTAGAGCCTTAAATATAAATCCTCCTGGGGCCAGCGCCATGGTGCACTGGGTTAATCCTCCACCTGCGGTGCCGGCATCCCATATGGGCACCGGTTCTAGTCCTGGCTGCTCCTCATCCAGTCCAGCTCTCTGCTGCGGCCTGGGAGGGCAGTGGAGGATGGCCCAAGTGCTTGGGCCCCTGCATCCATGTGGGAGACCAGGAAGAAGCACCTGGCTCCTGGCTTCGGATCAGCACGGCGCCGGCCGTCGCGGCCATTTGGGGAGTGAACCAACAGAAGGAAGACCTTTCTCTCTGTCTCTATCTGTCAAATAAAAATAAAATAAAAATCTTAAAAAAATAAATAAATATAAATCCTCCTATTATAGTCAGCTCTTTAGAAACCAAGTTCAAGGCCCAGGTGAATGGTTCCCTGATTTCCTCGCCAGAGTCTTGGAGGCAGTAGAGAAAAGATGACCGCTTAGCCCTGATCAAGACAAGTTGGTCAAACGATTAGCTGGGAAGGTGCTACCAAAGAAGCAAAAGCTGCCATCGCCCCAGTCCGTCATGAAGACTTTTCTAAATGGATAGTAGCTACAAAGGAGGTAAACCCTGCTGATACACCCATACAGGCCCTAACTGCGGCCATTAACAAACTGAACACAAGGAAGTCTAATGGTCCCCAGTTTGTTGGGGATGTCAGGAAACGGGACACCTATGGCGAAACTGCCCAAATGCTGACAGACGGGGCAAGCCCAAAACGCTGTGTTCCAGATGTAAAAAAGGCATCAGTTGGGCAAAAGATTGCAAGACCAAGCCTTTAAACTCCCAGTAGGGTGGCCCTCAGCCCAACAAGTAAGAGGCATGGAGTCACCACACAGACCCTGGGAGTCAGGTGAAAGCAGGCCAGAGGTGAGCAGCCAGCAGACTCATTTATTTCAGCTGGTGCAGCAACTTATATAGCCGAGGCAGCCAATCCGGTTAAGGGCAGTTTATGCCCTAACCAATCACAGCCTGTTGCCAGGCAGGCTCTGTTGCCAGGTGGGTTTCGAAGCCATTCCTGAGTAACTGATGCTCACTTGTCAGCGGCCATCTTGGCATGACCTTCTCATTCCACCACATTTCCCCCTTTTCGTTTGTTTTTGAGCAACTGGAGGCATGATACTTGGCCATACCATTGTTGACCCCGTTTCCATGTGGCCTCTGTAGGCGGCTGTGCCTGTCTTAGGTTGTCCCCCAGGGGATCTTAGATCTTACCCATCGTTGACTAACCAGCCCTCAAAATGGGAGACCACAGGAGTGCTTGCTCAGACGGGGGTAGGAATGAGGAACAACGGTAATCAGGAATGGCATCACTGCACACAGGCTGTGGGCCATCTGAGCGGCTGACCAGAGCTAGTGGGGTATAAAACAGTAGCAGATGTGGCTGTGGGCAATTTCTCAGGGCAGGATGATAGGGCAGGTGCGTCTGCTAACAAGGCGGACTCTCAGTCTTGTTCAGCTGGTCCTGGTTGACTGTCAGTTGCAGGCTTGATGTTTCTGGCTGGTACCCAAATGGGCTGTCCCGCATCCTCTGGAAAGACACAAGCATACCCTCGGCCCTTGGTTAGCAGGAGCCTTGTTACAGGTGTTGGAATCCAGGGCCTGAATTCTGCATCTGCTCCTATATTAATGGCAAACATGCGGGTGGGATGGGGTCTAGCAGCTGCCCTGAGAGCCTGGGGTGCCTGGGGACTGCCACAAACATGGGGATCCTCACTGGGTATGGATGGGATGACCTCGCATGGGTTATTGCCTTGAGGTCGTCTAAGTTCATCCCACAGATATTTGGGGGGTGGCTGACCAGGCATTGCTGCGTTGTCTGCTGTTTCACTGTTAGAGCTCTCTCTCCCCAAGTCATCAACTGATGTCTGTGAGGCAGAGGCCTGGAGTGACAGGCTCTCATCACTCACTGATTCATTATGTTTGGCACTCTGTGTGGGTTTCTGAGAGGGGGTATCTTTCCCATCTCTGAGCGCTTAAGAGCAGCACGCCATGCCAACTCTAGCCAAAGGGAAGACACGCACAGCACTGCTGCCATAACAAAACAAATTCCTAGCACCTCAGCGGCTGATGGCATTCTGCAGGGGTTCCCTACGTTAGACAAATAGACAGTGGTGTGTCAGATCATAAGTATGTCCTGTGCTTAGTGGGGGATTTCCTTGATTCGTTAGGTCAAGGCTGTATGCCCACATGGTAGCTCCAGAGCGTCACCTCTCTTGAGTGAGGGAAGATGACTGGTTCAGAATTCTGGGATGATCTGAATTTGCCGAGTGAACCGAAAGTAAAAGGAGGAGCCGAGAAGTGGCGTATGCTTCTGGGCGGTGTTGACTAACCTGGGGTCACTTCAACTGAGGACAAGGACAAGGAAAGGGGCGTGGGAGGGGGTTCTGTGCTCACCCTCACAGAACCAAACAGCACACAAAACACTAAGGGGCCTATTTGCCGAAATCAAGGGGGGACCTCGCCAAGTCTGACACGCTCTGTCACCTTGGGCGCCAGATGTTGCTGTGGATTCGTTCTGAGGAGGAGCGTGGTGGGGGCAAGAGGCACGGAGTCACCACACAGACCCCTGGAGTCCGGTGAAAGCAGGCCAGAGGCAAGCAGCCTGCAGGCTCGTTTATTTCAGTTGCTGCAGCAGATTAAATAGCCAAGGCGGCCAATCCGGTCAAAGGGGCAGTTTATGCCCTAACCAATCACAGCCTGTTGCCAGGTGGGTTTCAAAGCCATTGGTGAGTAACTGCTGGCATGGCCTTCTCTCATCCCACCACGGTTGTTGTGGTAAACTTTATATTTCAACTTGACTGAGCCACAAATGCTGACATTTGCTAAACATTTCAGGCTGTGTTTGTGAGGGCATTCCTGGATCAGATTAGCATTTGAATCCTCCAAACAATTCCTCACAATAAATCAAACATTCTAAGTGTATATATATGCATAGTGTGTGCACATACATACATACACGGCATCTACACATACATGCACGCCGTACACATGTAAACAAGAACACTTCGAAAAGGTCATGGAAAACGTTTGGTGCAAACATTTTGAAATCAGTCCATGCACAGCTTTTCATCACACATATTTTCCATGAACTCTCTCAACTGCCTCTGTAAATACACTCGTATATTCTATGGGTTGTCTCTCTGGAGAACCCTAATACACTTCCAAATGTATCTATAATCAACTCAACAATGGGCTCACACTGCTCATATTGATACGCTGTGAAGAATGAGCTACACATCGGTAGGAGCCAGACAAGGATAAGGTCTTCCCAGCAGAGAATGTGAGGGAGGCAGGACCAAGTGGGGACGCTGTGGACACCACAAGGGAGGCGGGACCGAGCGGGGACGCCGTGGACACCACGCGAGGGAGGCGGGACCAAGTGGGGACGCCGTGGACACCACGCGAGGGAGGCGGGACCGAGCGGGGACGCCGTGGACACCACGCGAGGGAGGCGGGACCGAGCGGGGACGCCGTGGACACCACGCGAGGGAGGCGGGACCGAGCGGGGACGCCGTGGACACCACGCGAGGGAGGCGGGACCGAGCGGGGACGCAGGGGACACCACGCGAGGGAGGAGGGACCGAGCGGGGACGCCGTGGACACCACGCGAGGGAGGCGGGACCGAGTGGGGACGCAGGGGACACCACGCGAGGAAGGCGGGATCGAGTGGGGACGCCGTGGACACCACGCGAGGGAGGCGGGACAGAGCGGGGACGCCGTGGACACCACGCGAGGGAGGCGGGACCGAGCGGGGACGCCGTGGACACCACGCGAGGGAGGCGGGCTGAGTGGGGACGCCGTGGACACCACGCGAGGGAGGAGGGCTGAGTGGGGACGCAGGGGAACAACCACGCGAGGGAGGCGGGACCGGGGACCCCCAGGAGGCGGGACAGAGCGGGGACCGTGGACACCAAGCGAGGGAGGCGGTACCGAGCGGGGACGCACGTGGACAACCACGCGAGGGAGGCGGGACCGAGCGGGGGAACGCCGTGGACACCACGCGAGGGAGGCGGGACCGAGCGGGGACGCCGTGGACACCACGCGAGGGAGGCGGGCTGAGTGGGGACGCCGTGGACACCACGCGAGGGAGGCGGGACCGAGCGGGGACGCCGTGGACACCACGCGAGGGAGGCGGGACCGAGCGGGGACGCCGTGGACACCACGCGAGGGAGGCGGGACCGAGCGGGGACGCCGGGGACACCACGTAAGGGAGGCGGGACCGAGCGGGGACGCAGGGGACACCACGCGAGGGAGGCGGGACCGAGCGGGGACGCCGTGGACACCACGCGAGGGAGGCGGGACCGAGCGGGGACCCGGGACACCACGCGAGGGAGGCGGGACCGAGCGGGGACACCGGGGACACCACGCGAGGGAGGCGGGACCGAGCGGGGACGCAGGGGACACCACGCGAGGGAGGAGGGCTGAGTGGGGACGCCGTGGACACCACGCGAGGGAGGCGGGACAGAGCGGGGACGCCGGGGACACCACGCGAGGGAGGCGGGACCGAGTGGGGACGCCGGGGACACCATCAGTGGCGCATCCAGGGCTGTGGCCTCCTGCGTGGGGAAGACAGGGACAGCGCTGGGGACTTTCCGTGCTTACACGGGGACAGTGACTGGAGAAGACCACAGAGAGCCTGCTGCAGGTGCGGAGTGCCCTCCAGACCCGGGCTGGGCACTCACACAGCAGCCACGAGAGCTTTCAGCCTGCTTCACGAGCCACCACCACAAACACCCGCTTACTAAACAGTTACTCACGGGTCACATACGAAACGAGAAACTCAAGTTTTGTGACAATTTTAACAGCTTTGCAATAAATACTTAATATCTAAATTGACAAAATTATGATAGACAATAATGATAGATGCAAAAAACATGGCTCAGAAGTTGATACTGGTGGAGTATGTGGCAATCACAGGCTCTAAGAATTAGGCAGGTACCTAATTTGGAAAGTACTCAACCTGCAGGACTCCCTAGGAGGCACAGTCGGCCTGCGTGAGCTCGAACGGGTGGCGCGGGCTGTTCCCCACACACCTCCCAGACGCCTGCGCTCTGCTTGCTGATAACGCAGTGCAAACAGCTACCGCACTCCATGGTTTACCAACAGAAAAAGTGTTCGTGCGGGGCGGGTGAGCTCCTTCTTCCTATCTTGTCTGCGGAGGCCGTGTCCCTGTACCTTCCCTCCGCACCCACGAAGCCCACCGCCGGCGCAGACGGCCCAGGGACGCCCCCAGGAAAGTAAGCGCCACGCACAGTTTCTTTGGCCTTACTTACTAACAGCAGAAATAAAACAGGCATTGTTGTAAATTTAACAAGAATTAAGTTATTTTCCCCAAAATAATGCAAAACATATTACTAATCCAATGAAAACGCAGGCACCACAATTATTTGAGAAAAGACTTCAACTATCTTACATGAACGCGCGTATTAGGAAAACCAGAACCTTCCAGTTGTAGACTCGGAGTCGCCGAGGGACCCACACAGGGGCTCCCGCGCGGAGCCGCCCCAGGGTCCTGCACCTGCGGCCGCGAACCTGGGAGTCGCGGCGCCCAGCACAGGCCGGACGGCGCAGGGTCCCCACGCCGCAGCGGCTCGCTCCTCACCACCGCTCGGCCCTGCCAGCCCGGCTTTTAAAGAAATACCGCTCAAGCCCGCCCTGACCAGAGCCGCACCCACCTGCGCTGCGGGCGCCCAGACCTCCTGGCCCCCGGACCTCCTGGCCCCCTCAGCGCCGCCGGCCCCCGGCCAGTGCGCAGGCGCAGGCTGCCACCCGCCGATCCCGGACGCGACATGTGCGCAGGCGCGGAACTTCCCGTCGTCCCCGCCCCGGATGTGGCGTTTGCGCAGACGCGTCCTGCGCGGGGGCTGGCGGGGCAGCGCTGGGCCGTCATGGCTGGGGTCCGAGTGGTGTCGCGGCTGCTGTTGGCGCGGCGTTTGGCGCTGACCCGGGCGGTGAGTCGGCGCCGGGGACCGGCAGGGCCGAGGCAGCGGTGGTGGGAGCGCGGCGCTCCCGAGCGGGGTGCAGCGGACGGCTTGTCCCGGTGAAGGTCACGACCCGTTAGAGGCCAAGGTCGCTGCTGCCTTGGCCCCTGGCTCTGGACGTGGCGGGCGGGGACCCCGGAGGCGAAGGCGCGGCTGCGGGGCGGACGTGATCCTGCCCGGGCGCCGGAGAAGCGCGGGGCTCGCGCAGGAGCGGCCGCGGCTGCCGCCGCGCGTCTGTCCGGGCGCCCTCTCCGGCCGCGGCCCCGGCGTCTTGCTTGGCCGAACGCGGGTGCTTCGCTGCTTGTTCCCTCAGTTTCAGTGCGCTCGCCAGTGCCCCTGCGAGTCGCCAAGGCTCCTGCGGGGCTTGACAGGCCCGGGGCTCAGCCGTCGCGAGAGGGCCCGCAGGCGGTGACTGAATGCGCCCACCGGAGGGGGCCGGGGCCCCTTCTGCGGGCCGCAGTGGGTGTCCGGGGAAGCCGCGCTGGCCTGCCTTTCCTCTCGTCGCGGCGAGGCTGGAGCCGGCGGAACGCGCTCTCGTGCGGCTGGCTGCTTGCAAACCAGAGGGCCAGGAGGAGCAGCACGGAACCGCACGCAGGCCTGCCCGAAGAGGGGGTCTGGGCCTTCTCGTGAGGATGGCGCTCTTCCTCCAGAAATTGTGCCCTCAAGCAGTGTATTGCACTTAAGGTTGGCTCATTTCCTGAAGAACTGGAGTTTACCAAGGAAAAAGAGAGTCAAATTAAAAGAGAAAAAAGGCAATTTTAGGATAGTTAGCTGAGAATTGACTATAAAGTCGATGTTGGGGCCGGTGGTGTGGCCTAGCGGTAAAGCCGCCGGCATCCCATATGGGCGCCTGTTGGAGTCCGGCTGCTGCTCTTCCGATCCAGCTCTGCTGTGGCCTGGGAAAGCAGTGGAGGATGGGCCAGGTCCGTGGGCCCCTGCACCTGTGCCTGGAGGAGGCTCCTGGCTTCGGACCGGCCCAGCTGGGGAGTGAACCAGTGGGTGGAAGACCTCTCTGCCGTTCAAATAAATACATATTTTTTTAAAAGTAGGTGTTGAGGATAATTTCAGAAAAATGAATAGGTAATTTATCTCCTTTTTATCAGTTTTGTGTTTTCGAGCCATTCTGTCATTATGGCTGCTTTCAAGTTACTAATTTTTTGCCTTTCTTTTAACCGTTCTGAAGCAATTTATTCCAAGAGGAAAGTAAAACGATGGACCTGAAATATTTATTAATTGCTTGCTTCCAATGAAGTGTTTCAGAACTCTTAGGATGAACACCCAAAAAGCTGTCCTAGGATAAGCTAACTTCTTTTCTTAAATGGATTGATCTGGGGCCAACGTTGTGGTACAGAGGGTGAAGCCACAGCCTTCAACACTTGACATCCCACCTGGGCGCTGGTTTGTGTCCCGACTGCTACACTTCAGATCCAGTCCCTGCTAATGGTCTGGTACAAACAGCAGATAGCCCAAGTGCTTAGGCCCCTGCTACCCACATGGGAGACCTGGAAGAGGCTCCTGGCTCCTGGCTTCATCCTGGCCCAGTGCCTGCCTTTGCAACCATCTGGGGAATGAACCAGCAGATAGAAGATCCCTCTCTGTATAACTCTGACTCTCAGATAAATCTTTTTTTTAATGTATTGATCTGAATACATTTTAATGGTGTATCTGGAATTATTTAGGTCTGTATAGGAATAGCCTTTGGTTTTGCTTTTTGGATCATTATATAAATGATATTCAGTTCTGTATTCTACATATGTCTTTCCTGGTTCATTTGAAAAGTGGCTTGGTTGTGGTGTTAACCTGGATTTTAGTCTTAGTTTGGAGTATCTCAGAGGCTTTCCCCAAGGGTCCTTAGGTAGTGGGGAAACTACGAGATGCTGAGCCACCAGGCTGACTCTGACCTTAAGGTTCTGAATGGGTTAGTGGAGTTCTGTGAGGTGACCTTTGACTCCCGTGGTTCATGACTCACAGCTATGCCCAGGACAATGTGCACTGTATTTTAATCATCCTTCACTAAAAAATTAACATTTAAATACATAATGAAAATAATTACACAGTTTTTAAAAAGACTTATTTATTTATTTATTTGAAAGGCAGAGAGAGAGAGAGAGAGAGAGAGGTCTTCCATCCACTGGTTCACTCCCTAAATGGCCACAGCGGCTGGAGCTGGGCCCATCTGAAGCCAGGAGCCTGGAGCTTCTTCCAGGTCTCCCACGTGGGTGCAGGGGCTCTGCTGCTGCTGCTGTCTTAGGCCATGGCAGAAGCTGGACCAGAAGTGGAGCAGCCCGGACTTGAGTGGCACCCACAGGGGATGCGGGCACTGCTGGCGGCTTTACCCACTACACCACAGCGCTGGTCCCAGTTACAGTTTCTAAAAAGCAATAAGAGGAGGCCGGCGCCGCGGCTCACTAGGCTAATCCTCCACCTTGCGGCACCGGCATACCGCGTTCTAGTCCCGGTCGGGGCGCCAAATTCTGTCCCGGTTGCCCCTCTTCCAGGCCAGCTCTCTGCTGTGGCCAAGGAGTGCAGTGGAGGATGGCCCAGGTGCTTGGGCCCTGCACCCCACGGGAGACCAGGATGAGTACCTGGCTCCTGCCATCAGATCAGCGCGGTGCGCTGGCCGCAGCGCGCCGGCTGTGGCGGCCATTGGAGGGTGAACCAACGGCAAAGGAAGACCTTTCTCTCTGTCTCTCTCTCACTGTCCACTCTGCCTGTCAAAAAAGAAGGCAATAAGAGGGCCTTGTAGGTATAAAGAAGTGGGCTGCTCCCCACCCACTAGTGGGAGTAGTTCTGAATTGCTTATAATTTTGGCCATGCTATTTACCTGCAGTCTCTAGCTGAATGTGGGTGTATTTTTTGTCAGTTGAGACATCAATTCTTGTTTGGTAAAACACTTATTCCACCTACTCCCTGTTCCTGTGCCCTCCCAATAGTTATGCAACCATTTTTTAAAAAATTTATTTATTTGACAGAGTTACAGAGAAGAGAGAGATCTTCCATCCACTGGTTCATTCCACAAGTAGTGGAGTGAAACGGCCAGGGTGAAGCCAGGCAGAAGCCAGGAGCTAGGAACTTCTGGGTTTCCCACCTGGGTAGCAGGACTTGGGCCATCGTCCATGCTTTTCCCAGGCTATCAGCAAAGAGCTGGGTTGGAAGTGGAGCAGCTGGGACATGAACCGCCACCCATATGGGTGATGCAGACGGTCGCTTTACCTGTTGAACCACGATGCTGGCCCCATACAACCATTTTTAGGTCCTCTGTTGGCTGCGTTTGTAATTGTAAGGATTGTGCTTACGAATTGGCTTCCTGTTCATGGTTATGGATGTATTAAGGGAAGGCTCCCTACCTTGCTAGGTTGAGGCTGGGCTGTTAACATCTCTACTCTTGTCATTTTTATCTCCCGTCTTCCTAATTCAGGCATCTGAACTATTTTTTTTTTTTTTTTTAAGATTTATTTGTAAAACAGAGTGACGGAGGGAGAGAGATCTTGCACTCCTCTGTTGGTTCACTGTCCAGATAGTTGCAATAGCCAGGGCTGGGCCAGGCTGAAGCCAGGAGCCAAGGACTCCATCCGGATCTCCCAAGTGGGTGGCAGAAAATCAAGAACTCAAGCTTCCCAGGCGCTCAGATGTGGAATACAGCTGTCACAAGCCTCGACTTGGCCTTCTGTGCTGCTTGTCTGCCCTCGTCATCTGAACTTTTGTGCTGTTAAACAAGAAAACAAGATATAACTAAAAGAAATACTTAGGTCCAAGTATTTCTTTTAGTTATATCTTAGCTAGATTTCCTTGTTCTTTTTCATGTAACTTTATTAGAAAATGTTTGATAATCTCTCCACAAAAAGTTTAATTTAACAAGTGGCACGAACTGGTCTTTATTTAGGCAGACGTTGGGCTCTCCTGGTCCAGCATTATGGTGTTGCAGGTAAAGCTGCCACCTACAGTGTCAGCAACCCATGTGGGCTCCAGTTTGTGTCTTAGCTGCTCTACTTCGGAATCCAGCTCCCTGCTAATGGCCTGGGAAAAGCAGCAGAAGATGGCCCAAGTGCTTGGCACACTGCCACCCATGTTAGAGACCCGGGTGAAGCTTCTGACTCAGCCTGGCCCAGCTCAGGCTGCTGGTGGCCATCTGGGGGAATAAATCAGCACATGGAAGACATTGTCTCTCCCTCTCCCCCTCCTCCTTCCTCCCTCCCATTCCCTCTCCCCCTCTCCCTCCTTCTCCCTCTCCCCTCTCCCTCCTTCTCCCTCTCCCTCTCCTCCCTCCCTCTCTCTCTGTAATTCTGACTTTCAGATAAATGAGTAAGTCTTAAGAAAAAAAAGATACTACCAAGAAGTGTGCCTTTTTCATTTCATTTCTGAGTTATTGAGTACTCAGTCTGGAAACAAGCTCCACCCAGAAAACAGCTTTTCCTAGAGTGCCCAGTCAGGGTACAGAGGAGAGTCTGGGGCTGAGACCTGGCCCCTTGTGTCTGCCAGTTGGATACATGAAAAGGGTAACAGGTTTTTGTTTTTGTTTTTTGTTTTTTGTTATTATTACTAATTTGTTTGAAAGGCAGAGAGATCTCCCATCCAGTGGTTCTCTCCCTAAATGCCCTCAGTAGTTGGTTCTGGGCCGAGGTGCACGTTAGCAGGAAGTGGAACTGGGAGCAGAGCTAGGACTCTGATATGGGATGTGGGTGTCCCAGGGTGATGATCTAGAAGGGGAACTGCAGTTACTATTTCTTCATGACACTAGCACTCTGTGTTTCAGCAGCGGCCGGCAGCACTGCAGACAGGAACCCGTGATTTTCACTTCACTGTTGATGGCCATACA